GTTCAATGTGTATGATGAATTTGGTTTGCTCTGTTGATCTACAGTTTCATTTACTTTTGTTGAGGTTTTAAGCTTTGTTGATAGGGTCTGAAAAATGGTATTTTTCCATACTCTGCATCCTGGTCCCTGGATTAGCATAGTTAAGGTATTATAAACTGTTATTACAACCTTTTTGTCTGTAATGTAGATAGTTGTGGATAATCCAGTTTCATCTTTTGTTGGTGTAAATTGATACAACTGTTGTAACAACTCCAATAATTCTTCTTTAGTGGATTGGTGATAAAAATTAATTGACACACAATCTGCCACTTCACTAACAACCATATCAAAAAGTTTTCCATTATTGCAATCAGTATAATCTGCAGAAAGATCACATTCAGAGAAGCCACTAAAGCTGTCACAGTCTGTAGAGGTGTTGACATCCATTATATTTTAAAAGAGTATGATATAAGAAGTTAAGAGGATTAAGTTTGTTTCCTTACACAAATGTTTGTATAGCTAATGGAAGGGAATGTTAGGTGTGAAATTCCTGTGAATGTATATTCAAAATGCTTCATAAATTTCCAAAATTATTCACTAAAATCCTCATTTAACTCCATATTTAGTAATCACAGATACAAAATATTTTCAAATCTTATTTCCAAATAAATTCCTGGTCATACAGATATAATTTTCATTAGTATCAATCCAGTATATCACTAAATATTAAGAGAAAACATCAGAGCTAAAAATCCATGTCTGCTCTGTTCAACAGTTTCACTAATTGTAAGTTACGTACTTTCGTCCGGATTCAAAGTCGTCCAGTTTGTAAAGTGGAGAAATGATATACATCATATACACATCAATTAATGATAAAATATAACGTTATGTTCGGTCATGAAATCAATTATATGAAGTATTCGAAGTATTCAAAAGTATTCTGCCAGTATTACAAAAGCAACCGATCTTCGATAATAAAATTAAAATTTCTATAAAAATACAATTACATATCTGATGAAACAATTTTTATAAAATTGTCTTTTTTCTTTCTAAAACATGTCTCTATAATTTAGAATGAATGGTTTTCTAAATACCGTAAGTGTTATTTTTAGTAATTGATGTTGAATAACAAATTGTACACTGAAAATCGTCATATTGTGGCGTTGTAATACATGTAAAAGCTAAATGATTGTTGAAAATATATCATTCATGTCACTGCTCAACTATTTCTGTGCAACTGCTGTGCTACTGTTACTGCCAATTTTACGTTTTATAATTTTGCTACAGTTACTGCTGTGCCACTACTACTGCCAATTCACGTTTTATAATTTTGCTACTGCTACTGATGTACTACTGCTAATTTCACGTTTTATAATTTTTCTACAGTTACTGCTGTGCCACTACTACTGCCAATTTCACGTTTTATAATTTTGCTACAGTTACTGCTGTGCCACTACTACTGCCAATTACACTTTTAATGATTTTGCTACTGCCACTGCTGTGCTACTGCTACTGCTAACTTCACGTTTTATAATTTTGCTACTGCTACATGTATGCTACTACTAACTTCACGTTTCCTACTGCTGCTACTGTTGTGCTACTGCTACTGCTAACTTCACGTTTTATAATTTTGCTACTGCTATGTTACTACTACTGCTAACTTCACGTTTCCTACTGCTGCTAACTTCACGTTTCCTACTGCTGCTACTGCTGTGCTACTGCTACTGCTAACTTCACGTTTCCTACTGCTGCTTCTGTTGTGCTACTGCTACTGCTAACTTCACGTTTTATAATTTTGCTACTGCTACTGCTAACTTCACGTTTCCTACCGCTGCTACTGATATGCTACTGCTACTGCTAACTTCACGTTTTATAATTTTGCTACTGCTATGCTACTGCTACTGCTAATTTCACGTTTCCTACTGCTGCTACTGTTGTGCTACTGCTACTGCTAACTTCACGTTTCCTACTGCTGCTGCTGCATCTGCCTCTTCCCATGCATCAAATCCAAATATTGTGATACCAAATACTGTGATAACTTCATAACAAACAATGTCCTGTCTACTGCATATTGCTTTATGTCTATTGCAATGACATTGGTCAAAGAACTATAAGTTTCAGTGTTTGTGTATTTACTAATAGGTGGCAGCCACATAATCAATGTGACGCACGCATCCAGGCTATCTCAAAACTGTGTTCACTGCGACTATATCAAAACCTGGCTTCAATAAAGAACCTGGTTTTTATAAAGGATCGATCTTTTATTCTTGATTTTACTGCTTCTGCTCGATTTCGAAATAATCACTGTTTATGCCTTGCTGGGGCTTGGGCGGTCAGAGAATCCTAGCGTATAAGGCGTAATCCTTCCACCGAGTACCTCACAATCGATTGGTGGCTGGTATTCAAGATAATGAGTATGCCCTAAACATTAAGTAGACCATCTTGGCATGTATACCCTTAACTCGGATCCTGGAAATTGGCCTGTTTGCATGGAGGATGGTGAACCGGCTTTTGCTTGTGGCTTGATCCTTCAATAATCCTCACGCCATATCCCCGGCCTAACTAGAATATACCACAGGGACTCGAGTGGGCGCTTGACAAGTAGAGATCAACCTTTTGACTATCCAAAGCCATAATCATATATGATGTTATAAATTTATGAACAATAATTGATTGTGCTCAATCGTATGGCTTAAAGCCAACCAATTTCTATATACAGGGGCATTCGTGGCCGAATGTTAAATGTCTTCGACTCGCAAGCACTTACCTCTAACCGCTCTGTTTGAATACCGGAAACGAATTTCGTATTGTATAACGTAATAAGTGGGAAAGCGGGTGCCCGTTCGGGTATGTAATGACCAGAGTGGCACCTGGGGTCTAGCTTACTCTACCAAGAAAGCTGAACGTCTAGTTGGTCATATGGGAATCATTTTCCAACATAAAACAAACATTAGATAGTGACTGTGTATTGTGTACCACTTACATTGAAAATTTTATAATTCAAGACGTTAACACATTACGAATATTTTGCTGACATCGCAAACGACTGTGTCTAGCTTCCTGTCTTCTGTTTACTGCCTACGGCACATTGCTCACTACTAACAGCTTTAATTTACTGTCCACTGCCGTTTGCTTAAAGCGACTCCACTGAGGTTTAAAAGCCTACGAGCATAAAATTTGAATTTTCATACATAAATGAGCTGGGGCACTTTAAACAGAAATATATGCAAAGAATGTCAAGAAATATACTTCGAAATAAATTGAAAATCGTATTTTATGCCTTTCTTAGCTCGATTTGTGTGAAAAGCGTTTAAGCGCTTTTCATTTTTGGTCATATTTTTACAATTTGAATAATTATTCTGGAAAAAAGAAGTGCGTGAATGATCTGAAATTTTGTATCTAAATACATCAAATGGTACATTTATCAGGAAAAATATTTTCAGTTCCATCATTTCAAAAAAACCTCAGCGGAGTCCCTTTAATGATTACTATTTCTTTCTGTTTCAAAGTATACAACCTATAAAGAACTTTATAGTCGCTGAAATAGTTGCAGTTTCTGTGCTTTTACATATAGATGTCCAAGAAGTCATCCTCGTTCTTTTTTACTGATTCTATACAGTTAATTATGCTAACATGCTTCTAAGAATTATGCAAATATAACATAATTCAATAGCAGAATAGCAAAATATGTAATAAAAATATTTTTTTAAAACATAAATGAGATTATCATAACACGAAACCAAATTTGAAGCATTATTTTGCCTATTTATGAATAATAAAGCAAATATCAAGATTTTCCTCTCCAATAAAGGAAAGATTTTACGCAAAATCAAAATTCATAATTTTCAATTAACGGGTTTGGCGGCCATCTTGGACGCCATCATGGAATACTGAGCCAAATGAATATCCATTCCGGAAACTAGAGACCTAGTATATAAAACTTGCTTTTGGCTGACATAAATTTACTACTTCGTTGTCATTATACCCTATTTACAGCACTAATAAGTGTGCATGTGTAATGGTCTCATATTTGCGTCTACTTTGATACGATCATGCTGAAAATTTCAGTAAATAAAATTTAGAGACATAATATTATATTCCATTTATTGAACTTCATAAGAAAGACAGATTTAATAAGCATGCCAAATAAAATCTGAAAGTGCGTTATAAAATTATTCTTATACATGTATATGGTCTGCCCACCCTGACTGTTAATAACAACATAGCAGCCTTATTGCATTGATGTGACACAACCATTTAAGCTCACCTATCACAAAGTGACACGATGTGCTATTGTGATCGCTTTTTGTCCGGCGTCCGTCTGTAAACTTTTACTTTAAAAGACATCTCCTCTTAAACTGCCTAGTCAATTTCATCCAAACTTCACAGGAATGTTCCTTTGGTGGTCACCTTTAATTTTTTTCAAAGAATTTAATTCCATGCAGAATTCTGGTTGCCATGGCAACCGAAAGAAAAAACTCAAATATCTTCTTAAGTAAATAAAATCCCTGGAGACAAAATTAGCCCCGCCCGGGAGGGGGGCATTGATTTTCCTTATATGTGTATAATTAAAAACTAAAAACTTTTTTTAAAAATCTCCTTTAAAAGAAACCTCAAAGAGTTAAAGCATGAAACACATTCTCACACTACAATCACATGGACAGACAGCAGTTCAACCGTCGACAGCTGTACCAGTATATACATGTCGCCGAAGAAAACTCAATTGACGGACGGTAAGTATTCATCTATTTTAACATATCCCAACTGTGTTCGAGTAAATCAATGTTATGGGTTCATAGTCAACATCCAAAGGAGCATGCTAACAAATTGTAGGCCTAATATAAATCCGTGGTTCAATGAAATGGCAAAAGTAAATTTTAAGAAGAAGGCCCAGAAGAAAAACATGTTGACAGCTTGGTGTGTAAGGGTTTTAAAGTATACTTCTTCTTTAGTTCATGAGTTACGACCTTTTTGCACCAAGCCCTCGATGTATTAGCGTATTAACAAGTAATTAATTGGTTCTTGTCGGGGGAACAATATTAGTACTATACAACCTTACATCACGTGACCACCAACCATTTGGTCAAAATGGCAGCCGCTCCAAACTCGGAGAAAGAAATTAAACAAACAGAAGCGGAAGGTAAGCATAAAACAACCATTATTTAGAATGCAGATTGATACATTAGCAGGAATATGTCTAAAAAATCAACAATTTTCGGTGTTAAATATTTATGATTTATCAGAGGATATTCAAGATGCGTATAAAAAGAACAGAACACCTTAGCTGATCAAAGTACTGAAAGTACTGGTACAGTTTCAGTGTTTATTCTAGGATTCGAAAAACGGGGAGGGATTTTTATCGGAAAGTGAGAATTTATTACATTTGTTGATCTTTTCCTATGTAAAATTACCCCCTGCCTCTAAATAAGGAAGTGGCTAGCCGTACTAGTCCAATTTGATTAGACGTTACAGGCTTGTTATAGTTTTATGTTGGTCAAGCCTGACGTCTAATAGTTATTGCTCATAAACGCGTAGCATTTTGAAAAATTAAAAAAATGTCTGTTGACTTGCCTTTCAAGCTTTATTCAAAAGCCTATCTTCTGTTCTTTCAATTGCATGGTCTATCATTAACAAAAACTTTCAAACAATGTACTTATCAATTAAAAATAAAATATAAATATCAATCTATTTCGCTCATCGGCCATACTGGTTAAGTAAAGCGTTTTACAGATTGATTCCAATTTTTTGAACGGAAAAATATATTCGAACACACTGACGGTGCATGGGAAATTATTTCGTTGAAAAAATATGTACAAGGTATTTAATTAAATGAGAAGATTTAATCATGACTTTTCAGATGTGACACTTCAATTATTTTGTTAAAAGGTATTTATTTTTTAGTTTTGTTCATAATTAAGTCAAAATTAATGTAAATACACGCTATTTTAATTGTTTAAATGCATTAGATCTAAATCAATGTCTAATGTCAATTTTTTTGCTACACGATTTTGCAAAGATCTGTTAAGACCTAACGTAACATGGAAAATGAAAAATGTAAAATATCAGAGTATTGAATGATAAATATGAAAAAGGTTACGTATAGGTCTTATGATTAGGACTATAGCGTACGTGAGTCACGTACAGTACGAATAGCCAGGACGCACTGTATTGTCTAGCCGTACAGCACTTTTCAAAATTTTATGGAAGTCGAAAATGCATATGTTATTTTGTGTCTTTAAAGGAGGAATTTAATCAAGTCTCTGCATTTGTCCTTGTGTGTACACTTTAACCCATTACCTCATAAGCATTTTGTGAAAAATGGCTGTTTTCATTGAAAAGTCTCCCGTTACAAGTTCAAATTGCTATAAAACTATAAAAACTGCTTCAATGTTAATCAAACTTGGCACAAATGTTGACTGGACCATTGCCTTTGTAACAACATGCTCAGGCTTAAATTTCCTGTTACCATGGCAATGAGGGGACATCTCAAAATTGCCAAAAATCACTATTTTGCGTTGATTTTTTCCATCAAAATTTTTTTCAAAGTGCTGCAACTTCTCAATGGATTGAGAAAGAGTCAAATGCTTTTCAGTGTTGGTTACACGTTACCTTATGATCAATATTGGGTCATTTTTAGCCTCTCACAAGTCCAAAATTTTCCTGGCGATGAGGGGGATTGCCGCCCCCTTCAAACCCCCAAAACGGAAGGGGGCATTTTCCCCTTCTGGCAACCCCCTGATGTATCTTTTGGTTGGGGGGCCGCACCGAAAAAGTGGTCACTTTTTTTAACAACATTTCTCAAATGAAAACATGTGTTTGGGGCCCAAACAGGACATTTTTTTCACTATTTGAGGCCGTAAAGAGGGGGGGGTGGTCGAAAGTGCGTTGTTTCGCGTAGATATGAGTTAACGGGTTAATAAAGATGCTCTGCCATTTTTAAAAAAAATGAATACGAACAAGGGTTGTATATTCTATCTTGATAAAAATATCAAAGTTGCATGTTATAAGTTATAACTCGTTGATTTTCATGATTTTCATTAAGCACATGGATCGAATAAATAATGATCAGAGTGGAATAAATAAATAAATAAAAAGAACATTGAAAATCAAAGCACAGAAGGCGTTGAATTTTGGGTCTCAGAATGTCAGAAAATTGAGGGTTGTGAGATTATTATAATCATTATAAATCAATTTGTTTGCATAGTGGTGTTTCAAGTGTTATAACTATAGTAAATTGGCTATAAGACTAATTGCAACACTGCACTGATATTCAATTCAATTTTTATTTGGCTTTAAAAAAATGAGTTGTCTGAACTGCGATTTGAACTCCAGACCTCTCGCTTTTTTTTTTTTTCCATCAAAACTGATTTCAAAGTGCTGCAACTTCTTAATGAATTGAGATAGAGTAAAAGGCTTTTCAGCGTTGGTTATTAGTTACCCTAACATCGACCTGAGGCCATTTTTAGCCTGTCACATGTCCAAAATTTTCTTGGCGATGAGGTGGACTTCCGCACCCCTTCAAACCCCCCAAACAGAAGGGGGCACATCCCCCCTCTGGCAACCCCTGATGTAATGTTTTGAAGGTGAGAGGCGCCGAAAAAGTGGTCACTTTTTTAACAACATTTCTCAAAAGAAAAACAATGTTAGGGCCTAAATAGGACATTTTTTTTTCATTGTTTTAAGCCTCAAAAAAGTGGGGGGGGGGGGGGCTAAAAGCCGCCAAAACACGTCTATATGAGGGAAAAGGTTAATGATGGACAAACTTCTATACCGTCAGTAAATGACGCAATTATCAGAGCCCAACAACAAATTTATGTCGAAAATTAAACTTAATGAAACAAAAAAGGATAATTATCAAAATTTTGTAAACTATTTCAATTGATGTTATTTAACTGCAACCAAATGCTTTTTTTTCTTGACGACTTGAGACGACAAAGATTGATATTTGTACTTTCTTTACTGTAACCAACAAGGCAATTTAATTAATCTCTAAAAAGTAAACACACGAAGACAATTGCTGTTTCTTGGTTAAAATCCTCGCTTAGTCATAAAATAACAAATGCATTCGACTTCCATATAATTTTGAAAAGTGCTGCACGGCTAGCCAATACAGTGTGTCCTTGCTAGTTGTATGTGACTCACGTTCGGCAAGAAGTTTTGGCGGCCCCTACAGCTAGCCTTTTCCTCTGAAAAAAAGGGGGGAATTCTTAAAAATATGAGTGAATCCCCAATCCCCTCTCCTAGAATAGACACTGCAGTTTGTATGATGTAATGCCCATAGGTGTTCAGCGCGTTGATTGGTCACTACCCCCGCCGATCCCCTCTCACCCACTCTTCAACCCTCCTACCTCTCAAAACCATTATTTCTTTAAGAGTTATCAATTCCCTACCGTTTGGTACCAAGATTTTGAAAATTGGGGAAAAATGTTATGTGGTTCCTATTAAGATGAGTGCTGAAAATGAGAGGCGAGTTGCATACCTTTACTAAATATATATGTATCAATTTTTATTTTTTGTGGGAAATGAAGGAAATTGAATTATAAGCATATACCAAATATTAAATCATGTTTCAAATGGAAAATACTGGTTCTGAGAGGTAGGAGGGATGTAGAGTGGGGGAGGGGGGTAGTGACCAATCAATTATTATCAAATTTGATCAGGATGCTTGTCTAGGACTGTTTTTGCTTTGACGAGTTTGAACATGGGTCATTTCAGAAGAAAATCTAGGTCACAGGAGCTAAAAATAGAAAAATCTTGTTAATACTCTAGTGGCTACTGTTTTGATCCAAATATCCTGGTAATTGGTCTGAAAGTTTGTTTTGATGATTTCTAGGTCAGGTTCGAATATGGGTCACCTTGGGTCAAAACTCGGTCACACTGTCCAAATATGGAAAAACCTTGTTGACACTCTAGTGGTCACATTTTCGCCTCAATCATCATCAAACTTGGTCAGGATGCTTGTCTTCTTAATTGCTCAGATGAGTTCAAACATTGGTCATCTTGGATGAAAAACTAGGTCACCAGAGCTAAAAATAGAAAAATCTTGTTTAAGTTTAGTGGCTACTGTTTTGATCCAAATATCCTGGAAATTGGTCTGAAAGTTTGTTTTGATGATTTCTAGGTCAAGATTGAATATAGGTCACCTGGGGTTAAAAACTTGGTCACACTGCCATTATATGGAAAAACCTTGTAAACACTAGTGGTAACATTTTTGCCTCAATCACCATCAGGACTTGGTCAGGATGCTTGTCTACTTAATTGCTCGGATGAGTTTGAACATGGGTCAACTGTAATGAAAAACTAGGTCACAGGAGTTAAACATAGAAAAATCTTATTAACTTTCTAGTGGCTATTGTTGTTCTCCAAATATCCTGCATATTGGTCTGCAAGTTTGTTTTAAAGATTTCTAGGTCAAGTTTGAATGTGGGTCACCTTGAGTTAAAAACTAGGTCACACTATCCAAATATGGAAAACCTTGTTAACATTCTATTGGTCAAATTGTTTACTCAATGGACATGGAACTTGGTCAGGATGCTTGTCTGGGTAATTGCTCAGATGAGTTTGATGGGTCAGGTGAGCGATCTAGGGCCATCTTTGCCCTCTTGTTTTTGAAGTTATCAATACATACATGTATGAATTTTAAGTCAAGATTAACAAATTAACAATGGAAGAATAGGAAATAGGGAAAATAATCTGAGTATCATCATGATGGTCAAACCAACCTTCCATGTACATAATGTAAACATAATAAATAAAAGTTCTTCTAGTTAAATAAAAAGTAACCTTTATCTAAAACTTATTTTTTACATGATCAAATGTTCCTTATCCTACCAACAAAGGGTAGTAACTTTAAGTCTATGAGATAAATTAACATATCTCCTGCTAAACTGCTACAGGTATTGGCAAATTTAGTGTAATATATAAATATTCATCAATTTTTTTGTTTTTGTATTCAATTATCACTTTAACAATCATTTTTGGTAAGCACCAAGGACATAGATTATTTCATGTGAGGAAGCTAGCTTACAGGAGGTTTGCTTCAGGTGTTGCATGAGATAATCCTCAAAGTCAACCTAGAAAGTTGCCATAGTTTTGACAGTTTGACTTAAAACCCATTTCTTAAAAAAAAAACAAAAAAAAAACCTACTTTTCATGGTGTTACATATCTAAAATTCAATATGTTGGTTTCTCAGATGTACCTGCAGAATGGTTGGAAAAGGCAAAGAATGGAGAAGAAGAGTTTCAGTTAAAGCTAGGGGAACATTACCTTACATTAGCTGATTCATCTATAAACCCGGAAGAGAATGGTAAAATCGCCATACAATGGCTGGTTGCTGCATCAAAACAAAGTAACGAATCTGCAACAGAAAAACTGAAAAAGTGTTTGGAGACAAAAACAGGTAATCGGAATAATTGTCACATTCATTTCAAAATACAAGCTCACATGCTGCTAAATCATCAATAAACATACCCAAGAAAGCAGTTCATTATTTGTTAAGGAAATGTTTAACACATTTTTTTCTTTGAAATTCGTATGCATCTTAAAGGGACTCCACTGAGGTTTTTTGACATTACAGGACTGGAAATAGTTTTTTGAGATTATTACTCTATTTGATGTAGATCTATACTAAAAACTTATGTGCAAAATTTCAGATCATTAGCTCGTTCCGTTTTTCCAAAATGATAATTATAATAGTGAAAAATGACCAAAAATTGAAAAGCGTTTTAACGCTTTTCACTCGAATCGGACAGAGAATAGCACAAACATACGATTTTTAATGTATTTCCTGAATGCCTCATAGTTATATTTCATTTATATTTCTGTTTTAATAGCTTGTGTTGATCTTTGTGAAAAAATAAAATTTTATGTTTTTAGGGTTATTAACCTCAGTGGAGTTCCTTTAAACAATGTAACAGAGATTTTTTTTGTAACTCTCTTCAGATTTGACTATTTTAAGTATGCATCATTGTCACATGTATGAAAACAACCTGATTGTACTGCTTTTAAAATCTTTATAGTATATATTGCCAGTTCTATCTTTAAACTGAATTAAGTACAGTAAACTCCGCTTATAACGAACTCATTGGGACATTCAAAATCTGTTCCTTATATCCAGAGTTCCTTGTAAGCATATAGCGAATTAGTTCCTTGTATCAGGAGCGAACAGATTTACATATAACGAACTGATTGTTTACCAACGTCTGCCATTTTGAAGAGCATTTGATAAAGAAAAGATTTGTCGTTTATTTCTATTTTAGACACAATACCCAAGAGCGTACTTTTTGGAATTTGAAAATCCTTTGCTATTTTAGTTTTAATTTTAACCCCGTTCTCAATTTCTCATGAAATATCATATTTTGTTTCTAAACTCAGTACTTTTCGTTTTCTTTCCATGATTAAGAATAATTATGATTTTTGATTTTTCTTTTCTTTTATATTGAATATCTTCTATTATATTTTACTAGTGAAAGATATAGATATCTTTTCATTTAAATCAATGAAGCGTACTTTGTTGTTTTCGATGGATTATGCTATTACGTACTGCTATACAAATTCATTTTAATAGATGTTTTGAAGTTCGTACAACAATAAACGGTACATTCGGACGAGTGCCAATGAAAACGAAAGTTGAAAATGCAGGATCTATTAACAGATAGCCGATATTTTGGAGTTCGTTATAAAAGTGTAAGTTCTGTACTTTTAACTAAATTGGGACTAAGAAATGAATTCCTTATAAGCGAAAATTCCTTTCAACCGTGTTCTCTATAACCGTATATTTTTATATTAAATAAAGAAGAGCAAAATTCGGGCCGAAATAAATTGTTCCTTATAACCGGAAGTTCGCTATAACCGTGTTCGCTATAAGTGAAGTTTACTGTACACTGTATAGAACCATTTTAGAGTATTGCTAAGATACATGTATCAAATTACTATGCCCAACCTTGCAAATATTCAGTTTATCATTTGAGTATAGTATCCAAGTACATGTATTTAATTAGCATTGCCAAAAATCATTATGAACTATCACTCTCAGCCACCTAGATTTTTATGAAACTGTGATTGAGTAGTATTTTTTTTCTTGTGTATAGTATAGTTTCCGCTCTTTTCTACGACTATGTTGGATATAATTTGGACTTATACACATCTTCAGCAATCATAGTAGACTGTCCTAGTGGCTTGATCAATATTATTTCCCCAGCTGTGCACTGATCTAAATATATTCAAGTATTTTACTGTTTCATGTTATTTAACAAAGTATCAAATTTACAAGGTTTAACTGATGAGAATACAGAAGAAGTGAAATGGTGTGTAACCACATCTTCCTTGGAGAAAAAGATTCGGCATGCTGCAAGGAACATGTTTGTTTCAATCAATACGGCACAGAAAGAAGTTCTATCACCTGAAGAATACACTGAAGCTATCAAAAAGCTAACAGGTGGAAAGGAACAGAAACTTCTTCTTGCTGCAGGTACATATTTAGTATTTTAGTAAAGATCACCAGACACCTGTATGATTTTTGTAATGGTTTGAAGTGATTTTGGATTGTAGATACTTTTCTTGGTACTTTTCAATCATTTATGTAAAAGGTTCTCAACTAGACACATAATTACATGTTGTATGATGCCTATACCACTAGAATCCTAGTTTCTCACTAGAATGATTAGGCTCTACACTTTATTCCACAACAAAAAGTAAAGAAATATTTTTTAAAAAAAACCTTTTTCAGATATAACAACAGTCACAGTGATTAATTTAAAGTGGGGTAAAGTCCATTTTATAAATCTAGCTGTCACATGTATGAATGAGGCGTTTCAAGTGCCTTGAATAGAAAATTACATATAAGGAAAGACTTTTAACTCAGTATATTTGATCAGTTCATATGTGTGCATCTTGCTTTTGAACAATTAAAGTAAAGAATGTGAACAGAGTTGTCTTTTTTTATAGTCTTGATATTGTTTACCATGTTTTTCTCATTGATATTTTTGTTTTGTTTACAAGGAAGGAAAATTGGTGAAAACATATCAGAAAATGAGTTTGTGAAAATTCTTTCAAAGAAAGTACAAGGGACAATGACCTTGACCTCCTCAGAAAGGTCAGCTGCTTATGATGCTGCAACACCAGTAGAAAAGGTATGTTTAAGTGCAAAAAGGTCATTCTATGTTTAGCTTTTAGCCTTTTAAAGTATTTAACTCGAGTTCCTTGCAATTTTCTGAATGAAAAAAAAGAAGGAAATATTTTCATTTCATTCTGATTAGAAAGTTTGATTGGAATTGTTATTAGCTTAGGTAAATAAAAGTTCCCTTACAAGACATATACGATATCATTCAACATGTATGATTGCAGCAATTTATAGTTTGTGTAAGTTCAATCATCACTTTGAAAACTTTATTTACATTTTATAAGGAGTGAAAAGGAAAAGAACAAAACGTAATAAATAAAGGCAATGAATAAACAGTAATAGTATTACATACCTTGACATTCTGAACTATTCTTATGTTAATAAATAGTAAATAAAGGTAAAAACTATTTTGGAAAGTATTTGAAGAAACATATTGTCAAAATACAAAGATTGAATTGTTTATCTGTTCACATTTAAAATTCTTGTTTTAATATTTCAGGTTATGAAGTTTCCAAAAGAGACTTGTATGGTACTTGGAGATCAAGCCTTGGAATTTGCCTCCAAAGATGGACTGAACATGGTGATGTCATGTGTGCCGACAGATCAAATCTACTTCCTCACTTTGTTCTTTCTGTATGGCTTCTTAACACCAAAGTTTCTTCTAGAAGTCGTTCCTCTAGTTATCTTCTACATATCATATGCAACGATCATCATAACAACCTTACAAATGTTCTACAAGAAGAAGAAACTTAAAGAGGCGAATGCACTAGCAGAGATGTTGAAACAGTACGACGTTGGTGTTGATGTGAACCAGACCTCGTCACAGTACTCGTGGAATTCTCTCACTCCGTACCTGATATATTTTGCCTCTATACCTCTTGTTGTTGCAAGTTTCTCCCTGGCCGACAAGACTTATATCCCATGTTCGGAGCTGTGTGTTTTAAATGTTGTAATATGTGGTATATGTTTCCTGGCAATCAGTGATAGTCATGACCTTGTCACCTTGCTAGCTTTATTCTGCGGCTTTCTGGCAGCTCTTCCAGTATTTTTTCACAATTTCCCACAGGTTCCGGTCATTACGCCCATGATAAATTTCTTTTCTGGTTCTTTTCTTACCATCGATTTATTCGGAGGCTTGAAGTTGAACATTGGCATACCGTCCATTTGTTACAGCATAATTCCGGTGTTTTTCATTCAGATGGCTATAAGAGATTCTTTTAAAGGAATGTACCGTGTGTTTGTACCACATTTGGTCTGCTACTTCTGGTTCAACTTGGTTACAACAATGTTCCCGTTTTCAACATGGATTGGTCTCGGGCGGGCCACTGTAGGATATGTCATGCTACCTTTACTTATACCTCTTAGTTTCTTTTTTCTCTTCATCGGCATTATTTATATCTTTATCCGACTTGCCGCCTCAGACTTGTTTGGAAAAGTTGTGATCACTCTTCTACTTGCTTGTATACCTTTATTGCTTACACAAACAAAGAAACTTTTTGGGGGTAAATTGGACAAAAGATTTGGTTTTCTTAAAAAGATTGTAATGGTTGTGTTTGCGGTTTTAGCAGTTGTTCCGTTGATATTTGTCCGGCTTCCTACAGTGTCTGAAACAACAGTTGTACCTTTATCTGTTGATGACTTTTATAATGTTTGTAATAAAGAAGGACCAGAAGGTATGGAACTAAGTATGAATTGCAATCATTTGAAAGGGTCTAAGATCACATGGCAAGGCAAGGTCACTGGTTCAAAGGTCACAGGGGTCTCAAATGAAGTGTCAACAATGCTTAATGTATTCCCTTCATTTATAGGAAACCCATTGCGTTGCCTTTATGGAAAATCTTATGGTGATTGTACAGGTGAAGAACTGTCTGAACATGATGTAGAATATTGTAAACTGATGACTGCTCTAGGATATAAATGTGGTTTAGAAGAACATGATAAGTTTACATATGGTTTTGATATACAGTTTACTGAAGGTCTTAGTGGCTCTCTTGAAGCTGGATCAGGTTTTAAACAATTCTATCTGAATCTTGTTGAAGGGGATGAAGTTGAAGTTAAAGGTTCCATTGTTGATGCCTTATCTAGACCACTTAAGATGAAATTGAAAGAGGTTAAGTGTTTGAACCGAGAACTTGAACTAGATAATGTTGTTGAGGAAGAGATAGAAGATTTATACTATCAATTATTTGAACAGTCGTTACAGGTCGCATTTAACTTCTTCTGGTATCCTCTTGCTGAATATGTTCCACAGACTCACCCTGGGGAAACTGTCATTGAATAGGTAATGATATATTGTTGTTGAGAATTGTCTTAAAGTGATACTTGGGCAAATGAAAAAAATACAAAATTGATCTTATTTACTCAAATCATGCTAAAATGACATTTTTTAAAGTCCTTGCATGAATTTCTGTATAGATACATATGTAAATACTTAATATTTTGGTCTAGAAACATAGTTTTATCTTTATATGTTGAACGAAATTAAGACGGCAAAAGAGTCACTGAGAAGTTTTAAAACAAGTCGTGTAACTAGATAAAAAAAATCTGGAAAGTAAAGTAACAGATACATGTATTGCGGATATTGTTAGATTGTCATTCATTTGACAGGTACTTTAACATTATTCATAGTTCTCTATAATAACTATTGTGAAATCTAAATGCCCAATCTTGACCTACGTGGGAAACCACCATTTTATATATTTAAAATTTATAGAATATTTAAAGAAAAAATTCAAATTGAAGAAATGAAAATTTTGCCTGTGTCTCCCTTTAATAGTTAACCTTTATAAGACTGGAGATAAAAGACAAGAACACCCATCATGAAGTTGTTTAAATTTGGCATGTATCTTCTTTTAATACTTTAAAAAGCCAAACTATTAAAATGACCATGAATTGTTAATGATTAAGCTTATGAAACATGGTTTCTTTAGTTGTAAGAACAAATAAATATGTATGTCCAACAGAAACATTTATTGCCTCCATCCATGTTTGTTCACAGTCTTGTCAGATGTTTGTTAAGTAAGATAACAATACTTTTAAACATTGAAGTATCTGCCAAACTTTTCCAACATAAAACATTTGGATTATTAGAAAATATAGTGTATCAAACCTGTAGTATGAAAATATTTAGTGTATCAAATCATGGCCAGCCATTAAATTGATATTTACAACTGATCCATGCAATTTTTATATTACTTACACTAAATGAATATCATTTTTATGTATTTTTCATTTTTTAAACTTTGTGGCACTTTTATATTTGCAATATTACATTTTGGACCACATAGTTTAACTTCTTACTTGCATGCAAGCATTTTCATACTTTTTGATATAATGTTCATTTTTTTTAATTTTAGAAAAGTAGAATGGCACTTTACACAGATTTTGCAAACATATGTATCAATGCATTATGTATAATATTAAGTGTTACTAAAATTGGTTGTTTCTATAATTTATAGAGTGATATATATTGAATATTTTACATTTTAGGTGTTATTTTTAAAAGACATTATTTGTTGATGATTTATTTAGTCTTAACAGGGTAAAAGCTGAATGGTTGAAGTTATATTCACTTACATAAAACAAAACAAGACTGACCATCATCTGTCGGAAATGAAAAATTATTGGAATTTTTTTTTCAATTTTTTTATTATATGTTTTTTTTTGAAAGTTTCTGTATTTACTCACTTAAAAGAGTGGTAATTTATAAGGCAGGGTCTAAATTTTGCATTGTGATATGACTTGTCTATAAGACTAGGGGAATTTTGTAGATTTATCTGAGTATTTACAATGATTAGTTACTCATGACATCTGTGTGACAGTGAGGGAGAAAATATAAACAATTTGGAATATAGATTAGTTGGTTGTTTAAAATTTGTTTAAAAATATGGTATACAGAAAGCATAATTCAAATCAGTATGATCTGATTTAAATGAAATATTATATATTTAAACCCATACATATGTTATGAAGTAGATTTATATGTTTATTGTTTTGTATGTGTAACAGCTTAAATAAATATATGTTGAACTGTTGAAAAATAATGTGCCAAACATTAATTGTTAAGAGAAAATTTATCTTATTTGATACTTCTGAGAAAATTTATTTTTTATTTACATGAATAATTGTTTTTTCTTAATTATATAATATGATAACCTTTTTGTAAAGTCATGTGACTTCTTGACTAGATATCTCAATTCATGTTTGCAATGGTTAATGTAATTTGAGATTGAATTACATTTTGTAAGACTCTAGTATCTGTAGAAGTTGTTAGATTTATTTAGATATATAATACTTGATGTGAATGTATATATCATAGAAGGTTTAAGGTGTAATATATAAATTTTTTATATATATGTTTTACAGGAATAGTGTCTTACAAAGTCATGCTGCATGCATGAGCTGTCTCAATTCTTTGAGCACATTATGTGCACTGTTATAATTGTAAAGAAAAAGGTTGTACTGGAAGGACATTTAATAAATTTTCAACCTTGAGGTCTTAGGTTATATTCTAGATGAAACTTATAAAGTACTCTAAAACAATGTTTGAGGGTATCTTGTGAGTGTTAGGCCGGAGTGAATATGCTTCAAAGTCTTGCAAGCTGACTGCAGATTTGGCAAAAAAGAATTTTCACTTTTTGAAGATAAAAGTTTTTACCTGCTTGTTTTGAAGTTGGAGTACTTATAAGTATTGTGTGTGTATATAGCGCATTTTTTTATAGATTATCATATGGGATTGTTAAATACTTATATTGTATATTTGGTTTATGTATTATTTATTATATTATATTAATTATATAAAGTTATTAATTGCTTTGTTATATATAATCTGTTACTAATTATTTAACATAGTTTTATATTTCAATGTTATATATAATCTGTTACTAATTATTTAACATAGTTTTATATTTAAATCATGTTGAAAGAATGTTAAACTTTATACTTATATATTTATATTGCCAAGAGAACATGTCCTTTATCAAGTCTGTGCCGCATTGAATGTATATTTTAATTAATATCAGAACAAGTTCATGAATCAAAACCAATATGCTTTCAGTCATATTAGTATCATAGGTACTGTTTAATTTAAAATATTTTCATTTAATTTAGCTTAGTTGTGAAATAAATTCTTGCAACCTATACTAATTCTTTTCATGTCTGCTTACTGGAAATAACCAGCACTGATGACATACAAGGAAGCAATGTGTTGACTTGGTTACGGCTCCAAATCGCAATGCCTAGGTTGGGAGACGGACAACTTGATAAGACAGCCACCATTCTGCTTGTTTTTACAGGCAAATTCAGTAACATTTTTTTTTTCAGTGTTTACAACTTTACAATAGTGTTGACAAACATGCTACTACAACCTTGTTTTACAAAAGTCTACAGTACTGTTAACTGCCCATTTTGAGTAAATTAATGAGCTAAATGTAATATGGACTGTTCAATTATTCAAAGAATCACAAAGTCCATGACTCAAATTCAGTCAGGTATTGGTTACTTCTGTGAAAGTTTTAGTAATAATCAGAAATAGAACTAGTTCTTCTATTCACTTTTTAATTGAATAAGACCAGGTATGGTTGAGTGTGTTGATATTAGTTTGGAATAAATTTCAAAATCATTACTTGAACTGATTGTATCTTTCTTTCCTGTATTATCTTCTTTATACTTTTTTTCTTGTTGTTGTTTTCTTTTATTTTCTTTTGTTCAACCTGTTAATACTCTGATGAGATTGGACAAAAATTCTCATTATTGAAAATATGTGATAGTGTGATAGTGTACAGAAAACATCAAATATTTTTGTTGACTCTAGTTATTATATTTAAATGTTAAATAATATTTGTCAAAACTTTGCCATGATACAAAAGAGATTGTTTTGTTTTTAGAAAAAAAGGAAATATACATACAGTATCTTTATTTACTGCAAATTTTATTTTTGTTTTCATATTTGTTATTGGGGAAGAAATTGTAATAGATACTAAAAGAACTTGCCCCAGTTCAGCCTGTTTTATTGTTAACTTTATAAAAAAAAACGGAATAAATGTAAATATTTTTAGTATTTTAGCAGTAACAATTATTTATCTATGATTTATATATGCCATGTTGTTACAGTCTAACCAAGCTTTCATATAATTGCTGGTTAACTCAGGCATTTCATTGGGCATTTCAGTGTCAAAATAATTTATACTCACAAGAAAATTTACATTGATAATGGAAGATTCCAAACTCAAAGTAGTATCTGACTATTACATATATTAGCCTTTATCACACTATATACTCAAATGGACTTGCCCATCTTTTTATCTGGACCATTACTCATCTTTGAAACTATTATTTGCAGTACGTAACTTATTAACTTTGGTAAATCGGCAAACTGTGAATAAGTCTAGTAAATTGACTGTTTTTAGAAATAATTTAAAACACTAAGCTGGCTAAAATTTATTAGTACATAATCACAAAATTAAATTGATTGCCTGGCTGCGCCCTACCTGACCAATTTAATTTTGTGAATACGTACTAATAAACTTAAACCTATACTAAAAACATGGTAAGTATGAATTATCTACAGTATTATCAAAATTATGCAGTTATGAAATAGTAATATCTGTACTTTAAACCATGACATCAAATACAATAAGCTCAATACTGCACTTAGACTGATAAATATTAAAACAAGGCTTGTTTAAGAGATATATATGAGTTATAGTCTTCAAGGACATGCATTTATTATCGTAAATTGCAAAACTGAGTGCTACAATGTATGTGTTAGTGTAGTAAAGATACATGTTGATTAGATTTTAAGCTGTATTAGCCTGTAGATTGGTAAGGGTTAATACTTTATTTAGATTATAGCATATTGTCAAAAATAAGAACATTGATATGTATACATTTGTATGTAATTTTGTATGTAAGCTTCTGTTATGCAAATGTACTAAAGCTATAGTTAATGAATGATTACTGCTTTGTATATGCTACACTTGCATATTACATTGTAATTTCATTATGAGCAACAACAGTTGTCATAGTGATATAGGTCATGTGTAATATGTGACCCTATACTTGATATCTCAGTTTTGTGATATTTTTTAGGACCGTTCAAGATTATTTTTTTCAATACTTTTATTATTGGAAGTTCAAAATATTGCTTAAGCTGGTGCTAGTGTACATGAAAGTTGCTGGATTCTTCTCTGATGAACATAATCAAACTGCATTTGCAATTCTCACTAAACGCTTTTGTGTAATTTTGATACCAACGCACTCCCTTTTTTTCAGAATCTTCAGTATGATAAATGTGTTCAATCAATGACAATATCTTAAATCAGACAACCTTTAACAGACTTTGTGATTAAGATACTATATAATAAGTGTATTATATAGAAATAAGAACAGTGAGATATATATACATTTGTTTGTACATGTTATTTTATATGTAAGCTTCTGTTATACACATGTACTAAAGCTATTGTTGTGAATGATTACTGCAGTGTCTCTAAAGTCTGTTATTCTATCACATGATCTATAAACAGTGGCAAACAGAAACTAGAAATACTATCTGAAGCAGTATAGTAAATCTTTTTATCTTTGTAAACTTCATTGACTAACAATTAGCATTTAGTTATAGAAGTGAGCAATAACAATCCATTATATTGTTAGTTAAACTTTATCTATGCAGGTTTTTAGTGTGCTTTCATACATTTATATATTTTACAATATAATAAAGTTTAGAAGTAGACAATTTGAGTTGCAAGTTTATATAAACCATTTAAGTCTGTGACCTCGCAGTAAATATTGCAGAATTTAGTTCAACAGAAGTAAAAGAAGATACTGTCATACATGTATAGCAAGTATCTAAAAGTATAAGATCTAAAGCTGTCCAAATAATGCAGAAATGCAAATATATTTGGTGAACTACCTATTCTGTTTTACCGCTCAAGATTAATCACACGGGTTAAAAAACAAGCTCACTTTCCTATGACGCCTTTCAGCACAAAAAGCTTCTTTGATAAAAAACTAAGATCGAAAATGAGTCATCCTCGTAAACAAGCTCGGGTTAATCTCGCTTAAAAAATTGTGGTAAAAGATAGATCGAATTATGTAAAAGGCCATTCACTACTCTTTCGGCTTGAAATATTTTCAGAAGGTTTTTTTTATTCCATGGTAACATGCAAGCCGGTTTTAGAGAGGTTATGATGAACCTTTCATTAAGCGGCTATTGATCAACTCTAATTGTCAATGATGTCAAAGGATAACGCTAAAAAGATCAAGCGGGTACCGACAGAACACTAAACTAATGTCATAAACCAAGCCGCCATGGTTCCGGGTCTTAATCATGCCTTTTCCTTATGAGTACGAGCAAATTAGAGAATAAACAATTTCTTTAAGGATAGTTTACGAGGGTGTTCAATTATGAATTCAACTGGATCAATTTTCAGAAGTGCTTAACAAACAGTTACAGTGCCAAACTAATTATCAATACCACCACCATGTGATATACAAAGTTTGAGTCTTTTAATTTCAATTTTTAAATGCGTTTTCATAATCTTTTCGAGTAAGACACTGGAAAATATCCGAACCGAGTTTTTTTTCGCGTTTGATATTTTCTTCTAGCAAGGTGTTTTTGAGCCTTGGAAATAGGAAAGTCACAAGCGAATACGAAGTTAAGGAAACTCGATAACATTTTTTCTGTTTCAGATATTCTCGTACAATGGCCGCTTTGTGTGACAAATCATTGTCATGCAACAACCTGACACTACGGAGACCAATCGCTGGTCGACGGTTTTTGAAATATTTCTGTAATTTATGGAGGACCTTGCCTTTCTTAAACTTGGCATTTACAGAATAACATTTGGTAAACAGGATATTGATTGGTAAAGAAAACTACATACATGACCTTTTTGACGCTTATGGTGCGATCTGCTATGCAAGGTCTTTGACTTCCTTTGGTGCCCATTTTTTTGTTATCTTTCGCTTGGGCTCATTAAAGTGAACCAACGTCTCATCGCCAGTGATGATATTCGCGAAAGATCGATTGTTGTATTTAGGGAACTGTTTCAACAATTGTTTGGAGATTTTTACCCGAGCAAGTTTTTGCCCATTTGTAAGGAGATGGGGTATCAATTGAGAGCTTACACAACCATTTATGTGATACATGTACATAGCTCGTGCAAAACGTGGTTAAGTTGCATTCATGTTTGAACACCCTTTGTACAATCCCAAATTAAGTCATATCTGTTCCACAATCAACACTTGCCACTTGCGGAATCTTGGTCTTTTTGGGGGTGGTGGAGGTGTGATTTTGAAAAGGAAATGACATGACGTTTTTATCAGAACATATTTATAACCACATTGCGAAATCGTGTATGATAAGATAACATATTTCTATATTTAGCCCTGATCCTTATTTTGTACATTTTTTTCATTGTTGAAACAGATAAACAAGTGAAAGGAATGATGTTACTATTTCCAATTGTAAATATGATTTTTTTTGCTTAACCCTTACCACACTAAATATAAATGAACTTGATCATATTTCATTCTGGACGACACCATTCATCATTTATAGGAAAATTTCAAAATATGTACTGACTAAATGGTGAACAGTGCAGACCGAGATGAGACGATTGATGTTGGTCTGTACTATAGCCACGTGTATTCTGTAGCCGCCATCAGGCGTAGAGTTAATATATATATATATATATATATATATATATATATATATATATATATATATATATATATATTACCTGGGACATACCAGATATAACGTGGCAAGGTTTGAACATTTCGCGCTCATAGAAATATTCAAATGATTTGTTTCTTACAGAAATAAATTTCTCAACAATCCTAATTGTGGATATATTACATATACATATTTCGAAAACCACATTTTTTGAGCCACCGATTACAATATATCAACGACATGAAACTACTGAACATGACTATAAGTAATAGAGATCTACTCAGATTTTGTAGGCTCATCTAGCTCTATAATGGTGACATCTAGGCTTTTCGTGGAATGGCACTTACGTGTCCCATTGAAGGTTCCATGATAACGGCCGAATGAACACATCTGCGGATATTTCTAAATTCTAAATTTTGCCATTTCATGTTAAAATGTTAAATTCTGCTTAAACCGGTGCTAGGGGGCGTGGACGGTAGTTTGTACTTCAAAGTACCGTCCATGAAAAGGCTCAATCAAACCGAGCCTACAACATTTTCAGTTTTGCGGTTTTGAAAATTCTGTATGGATTGTTATTTTCTCTAGTGACATAGAGAGATCTACTCAGATTTGTTGGCTGACCTGACTCCATAATATAATGGTTACATAGGCTTGTCACTTTTGAATACAGCTGTTTTAAGTTCAAGTTTAAATTAATTAAATACTTATAACTATCTAGGATGAGATACTTCAGTTGGCCCTCAGCGTTCAATGTAGGCCTGACAGGGCAAGCCTTAATTACCTAAAATCAACCTTTTCCAGTCAGAAGAAAAGGAACATATAATTTACGCTATCAGTTCATTATTTCATTTCCTACATTTATTTTATTTCAGCTTGCAGCATTAATGGTATGTATACAGATATATTACTCTTTCTACACGTTATTCAGAGATTTGTTCAGTGTATTGTTCTTATAACTAGTATAAAATTACAGTACAGTCTCTTCTGTACAAATGCCGTTTATCAAACAAATTTAAACATGTTGGCAATTATTTGCCACCGAAATAAATACAAGTAAGCAAGAACTAATCGAGTAATTTTATGCATGTCATAGGTTAACTGTTAATTAGACTATACAAACTAAAAAAAAATGTGTCGGAGGAGACTTGTTATGCAATTTGTATATGTTTAAGCAATAATTAAACATAAAGGGCGAAACTTGCATAATTTTGGCGATCGTTTTGGCACTAAGGGGATGCTCATACATTATGTTCAAAGTATCGCTTCTAAAGACACTTAAACGATACTTAGAAATTAAATGGAGATTCTAAAGTTGCTTATCAATAGTGATGTTTATACGCGCTTAGAGCGATGCTAAGGCAGATGCTAAAGCTAAGGGCGATAATAGACGGGCTACTCGGGGGAATTTTGTAAGATGTCGTGGGTAACGTTTAGGTACTCACAGCTGTAAACATGGGAGAATCTTTCGTAAAGACGCTCTTAGCCTTGCCAATAAATTCTAATAACAATGCTTATAGACTCAATGACTTATAAAAGCTTTGAAATACAAGTAAGTGAATACAATTTCTTCCTGCAGGACGAATTTACTGAACTTTAATGTTTTATAGCTAGGGACAGAGAGTGCTAGCGTCACTACATGTCGGAATTCGTACGACTGCGGTCAGGGCATGTGTTGTAGATCCTCGGACGGTACAGTCATTACTGATCAACAGACGGGAGGGTTTGGTCCCCATTTTTTACAACCTGCTAACCAAAATGGTACGTGCAGCACCAGACCTGCTCAGAAAGGAGAAGTTTGTGATTCCAGCTGCGACTGTGACACCGGTAAGCTTTGTTGTTTTTTTTTATTTCTATAATATTTCTATAATATTAGCAGGTACTGTGCTATAAATTTCCTTTCACTATATCACTTCCGATAGCGATTAAAACTGAACGTATATAACACACAAATTGTAAATCGACATGTAGTTGTTAAGATACATGTATATTTATTTCAGGTTTGAAGTGTTACAGACCAATGAGTGGAATATGTTGTCCACCAATGAAATGTTATGACGAAGCTTATGTTAAACAGCAACAAGCATACTGGTCAAACTGTCTGTCTAATCCCGGTTGTGCTGTACCTCCATAATATAAATAATTACAGGAGCTGTTAAAAAGTTTGTCTTGAAGTGTTTATAATTTTCCTACCTTACAACATTCCTCTATGCGAGGGTTGTTCAAAAAGTAAAAGGATTAAGAGTCTTGCAGATTCGTATTTTATTCAATTTAGAATATTTTCATATGTACAGCGATCGTAATTTGTTTTCTACAATTTAAGCACAAGTTCACAAATTTATTGTGCTAAACGTGTGTTTTGTGGGATATTGAATAACCATGGTAACTTGTATCTGGCGCAGCACATCAAAATCTGTCTTGAAGTGTTTATAACTTTTCTACCTTACAACATTATTCGATATGAATAAAGTCAACTCATATTTATGTTCTACCCTCTAATCGGTGGTCACGTGTCTCCGTCCGATTTTTGTAATCCAACACCGCCAAAGAGCGTCGATTTTCACTGAACTCACTGCCAAGTAAGCCATATTATCAAATATAACACATATCCCTGTGACCTTTTGAACAGTCAAACATGAAAAAATACTGGCAGGTATGTCCAACATGGAAAATACTAGCGAGTATGTCCTTTAATATTGAGGGAACAATATTACATCCATTTTTAACTGCTTAGGCGTCGTAGTCATGGACATTAGAAAGGATAATGCCATTTCTAGGAAGTATCATTAGTGAAAAGCTAAGATTCTTCTTAAAGTATTTTAGTTTATTTCCATAACATGTATACATCTGGTCCATCAAATAAAACAAACAAAAATTTCATGAGCAAATAGTATAGGCTAAAACAAACGTTCATTTTTTAAAAAATTCTAAGACATTCTTTTAGTAAAATCTGATGAACATTTTTACTATAACTGTCAATTGTCTACAACATGATATTCAACATCTTACAACAATATATTTCTTGATTGTTTTTATAATAGATTTGTGTATTGTTAAATTGTTCAGAATAGGGATCTATCAATTGCCGAGAGAGTTTGACTTGACAAAAAGTATCATAATACTTTATGATATAACATATACCAAAATATACAAAATCTTCCATCATTTAGAAAAGGTTTTAAATCAGGACAATAAATCTACTATCACTTTAAGAAAGATTTTAATCAAAACGATAATGTTAACATGTTAACAATTGTGGTTAAAATATTGTATTAGTTCCTTTACAATTGCTATACAAGAGGTCAACAAATTTTAACAAAATAAAAAGCATTTAAAATGGTAGATTTTTTTTCTTCTCTTAATTTATACTAAAAATCACATCATATATGATTATAATATTTATTTAATCATGACCTCCGAGTTATTTCCAGCCCTACTTCAAAGTTAAATGTTTGGGTTTTATCTCTGTGTTCCAAATTTTAAATGTCAATATTTCAACTAAAATTTAATTCTATAATAGGTGAAACGAAAAAAAAAAGTTACATCTTCTCAAAATGAGTAACCTCCAAAAATTATAAACCTTGTAAGGGATTTAATTCCATGACCTGTTAGGTCAAAAGGCAAAATGCCAACCTTGCTAGACTAAACAGCACGCCTTTGTTGCAGGACCATGAACATTATCATTACAAAACTGTCAGTATGGTTGTTAAACACAACACATGTAAATTGTTACCAAAATAAATCACTAAAGACAATGGAATGCTCCTGAACATGCACTTTTATCAATATAATTTTCAATGCAAAATTTACTAAGCAAAAGTGTTAAAATCTATTTTTAACATTGGTGACCTTGACCCCAGTGACCCTTAACTCATTCTAAAGTCAGAGGGCCATCAAAGGTATCTACCAGAAGAAACTAGGAAAGCGTGATGTTACAAGTCAAAATTTTAAACATAACAAATTTGTCCTGCTTTGAATTCAGAATAAAAGATGAAAAAAGAAGGTTAAATATGTTGACATATCAGTTTAATAAGCAGACAGCAGAAGGATGAAATGCACATTGTTAGTTAAGCGACATCAATATCATGATATTATACTACAAGCAAGCAGATATGACAGGTCTTGCCAGATATTAATGATAGTTTGGGTCTTAACTATTGGTATTGTTATGCTTAAATAATGGAGTTACTGACCAAGATAAAGATAGTGCACTGATATGCCTAGCCCTATACAATTTGTTCAGTAATACTAATACTGAGTGTTCACTTTTCAGTACGAAATAAAACATAGACAGAACCAGCTGGCATTAAAATACATGTAAACAAATAATTAACAAAAATTTCATCATATAACAATAGAATAAATAAATGGTGGAACAAAATTTAAAAATAATTACACATATTGTAACTACTATAATCAGCAGTTGCTGCAGGTGTACGTCACATACCAACCTTGTCTTTACACACATACATGTACATCATATACCAACCTTGTCTTTACACACATGTACATCACATACCAACCATGTCTTTACACACATGTAAATCACATACAAACCTTGTCTTTACAAACACACATGAACATCACATACAAACCTTGTCTTTACACACATGAACATTACATACCAACCTTGTCTTTACACACATGAACATTACATACCAACCTTGTCTTTACACACATGTACATCACATACCAACCTTGTCTTTACACACATGTACATCACATACCAACCTTGTCTTTACACACATGTACATCACATACCAACCTTGTCTTTACACACATGTACATCACATACCAACCTTGTCTTTACACACATGTACATCACATACTAACCTTGTCTTTACATACATGTATATTACATACCAACCTTTTCTTTACACACATGTAAATCACACACCAACCTTGTCTTACAAACAATTTTTTGTTGTATATTTGATAATTTAATTTGTTAAAAATATATTTCGAATCATTAAAATATGTTTGAAAGAATCACTTGAGTGTAAACAAAGCAATTTATAACATAGCATAGCTGTTTCTACTTATCACACAAATAATTAAAAAAATAATGGATTTTTTTTCCAAATATCGGAAAAAAAAGAAAAGAAATCTCAATCTTTAGTGGATGTTGACATAATTTCTTGTGTAGGTGCAACGTTAATCCGATAAAAAAAGAAAGAAAAAACATCCACTGAGAAAAAAGTTTCCATATTCAAATAAGCTTGCAAAAATAAACCCATTTCTATGAACAAGTATTAAATGATTATCTATAATCATTTATGTCAGACAAAATAAAATAAATCATTATTAAAAATGACATTGCACAATGTTATATCAGACCCAAATAATTTTTGTAACTCAAATATTGCAAAAATTCTTTGATTACCTTATACTAAAATTGGCAGTAAAAGGTCTAACTACCACAATTATAACAGTAACTTTGAACTTTGCCTATAAACTATTTGCTCTAGAATCAAAATAGAAATATTTTGTAAACAATAGCAAATGAGTAGGAATTAAATATTATTATAAAGATAAACTTTGACTGCATTCTTGTACAATATGGCATGATTTCAAGTTCAGGGATCAAATTAGAAACTTATTTTATATGTGTAGGTCAGTGCAGAATTCAGATGTACAGTTATAAAACCATGAAGACAGCAAACCTGAGAAATCAAATATATTCACCTAAACATGAAATCATGCTATACTTTAATTTTAATGCCCACAAAATTAGAACACATCTTCATTTTAAAATTTGCTGAAAATGCCGGACATACATTTGTCTTGTATTCTACATTAAAGTGATTACTATTTAAATGTGATTCATTATTTATACAATTTTTTTTAACTTCAGTTATTATAAATTAAGTGAACATGATTTCTAAAGAAATGCTTCAATGTAAAAAAACAACATAACAAACTGCAGCATAGATTTTTTTTTTAAATATATTTTCTTCAACATGAGAAAATTTATCCTCAAAATATACATCTGATTTTATGGTTCATACATGGATATAGTAAATTCTTGCTGAAAAATTTCCTTTAAAACTAAACAAACTTAACAAATTTTAGAAAAAAAAAGAACCGCTAAAATGCTGATATGTATATAATTGTTTGTAATAATCAACTTAGAATGTTGGAAAATTTATTTATTAATGTAACATAAAATCTTTATCATGCATACTTAACACCGGCATATTAGTCCAGCTTTCCATTTGTTTTTGTTTTCATTGTTAATGTGTCAAATTATCTGATACTTTCATACAAAACGTATACAAATTATCTTTAATAAGTATGATAATCATGCTTGAATCAGTTATCTTAAAGATAATCAATTAAATCAATTAAATTATTGTTGCAACAGGACTTGATTAATGCAATAATTAATTTTACAACATTTACTGACCAACAAAGTTGGCAAATTTTATAATCTTTCATCTTATACTTTCAATGTCAAATCTGTGTAGAAAAAAGCCTCTTTTGTTTCATTAATTTTTGGTTGATTTGTATGAAGGGTTACCTTGTTTAAAATTGGAAACTTTTAATTGTCAATTTAATTGTTACTATTTAAAAGATAAAATGTGCAGTCAACAGTATATCATCTGGTAAATCTATGGTCAGGCTAGCCTGAATCTAATCTAGCCACATAGGTAAAAATCATTATCTAACCTGCAGTCAAAATAATGAAAATCACAATTAATCAGGCAATAAATAACCTCTGATTCTATAATCAACATCTAATAGAAAAAGTATATTGAATGCATTGGAATGTCGCTGAGTATATACATATGTGTATAATTCAAAACTTCATATGCTGTGAACACTTTAGAAATAAAGGCCTAGAAATAAACTTAACAAAAGAAAGAAAAAAAAAACAGGAGAAAATAAATTATCTCACAATAAAAATAATTATATATGGTAATAAGAAATACTTACAAACCATCTAAAGTTATTACAAACACATCAGATTATTTATCCTACAGCAAGAATGTTAAAAAGCATTAATATAAGGAAAGAATTGTTTTAAAACTTTAATAACACTTTAACAATGCCTCCTAATTTAAATGCAATAATCAAGACCCTGATTTTGTGATGTCTATTTCAAGTAAACTGTGTTTAAACTGTCTATTAAAGAAATCTTTAAAGTTAACAGGGTTTTAACTGTCTATTCCAAGTGATCTTTAAAGTTAACAGGCTTTCAACTGTTTATATGAAGTCAGTATTTCAATATTACAAGTAATGAGTTACCAAACATGTTTTTCTGAAATCTCTACTCTCCTTTTTGGCTTAACGCAGGCTTAAGAGTAAGCCTTAAGAATATACAGAAACAATAAAATAGCCAGTTCCTTTAATTTTCATAAAAAAAAAATTCTATTTAAGGTATGTTTAATTTACTGAAAATTAGAGACACTTTTAATTACCATAATAGTTAAATAATGTGCTAATTTGATAAAAGAAAATTATTCAATTCAATTAAACAATCTATTCACACTTTGCAAGCTGATATAGATGGAATGGAATAGTGGAATAGTCCATCTTTTAATTAAAACTAAACTATTCATCATTTTTAGAGAAAATTTCAAATTAAGTACTGTTTTAATAGTGACCGGTTTAGACCATTATCAGATGGTAAGGATTTGCTGGCTACATCTTGGTATGCACTGGTCACATGGGTAAATTCTGTAGCTGCCAGCAGGCAAACTAGTAATTTGAAAACTGAAATACATTGTAATTTGAAAAAAATCATCCAATTTTAAATAGAATGTGTAAATTACATTGATTTGAAAAAATATCAATTTGAAAATTCATATTTAAGGAATCATCAATTGAAAATAATGATCGTGACAACAGACTTACCCTCTGATAGACTAACAGCAATGACTGTTATATGACAAATACCACAAGCTTATCACAGGTAGGCACCTTTAATACCTATCAACAACAATTACAAAACTGCAGAATGCTATTTAAATAAATAAAAACATACAATTTTTTATTCAACCCTTGTAATTTCACTTCTACCCATATATTGATCTCAAAAGACTAGGTGATTACCCCAATTTAAAACCAAGTGGACCTATATTGCTCACCTGAGTAAATAACAAACTGTAAAGACTGTGAGCCAATATAGAATCTGGTTGCCTGATCTATTTAACTAATGAAGAGAGGAAACAGTGTTCTATCTGCTATATATTTCATATGTTTAATAAGGTTTCGAAAATTTACATTTTTAAAATATATTTTGTAGCCTTAATGACATCACAGGATTCATCTGTATACTTTTGTAGAAAAATATCAAAGCTACACTGCTATCAAATTTATCTAATTGTTCTACCCAGTGTTTGGGGAGAAGAAATTGTGGACAGAGACGGACTTTAACACACATCAGGCAACCACAAAATAAAAGCTCACCTTTGTAAGCAGTTCAACTAAACACATAGTCCACAACATCATAAATAAAAGTTTAATCTACATTAACTAACTTCACAACATATTCTGAAATTAAATTATACACTATAACTTAATAAACATCAAGTTTTTGATCCTCGATTCGTGGATGATTGATTTTCTGACTCATTCCTGGAACTGGCGACTCGTAATCGGTCCGACTGTGAATGTAGTTTTCTAAATAATTCCTTGAATTTATTTTGGGGGAACAATGTCTCAATAACTCCCTCTAACACGACGTAGACAAGACGTCGGTTTAAACTTCGATATTGGAACATGTCAAACACTCGTGTCACTCCAATACGCGCTGTGTCTGAACCGAGGAAATGACGTAATTCATCTAAAATTAAAACAAAAAATATTTTTTTAATCAAAAACTTGAAAACCCCAGAAAAATCAACATAAGTCTATTTTATTCTATTTGTATACAATTTCCATCAGACTTCCTATCATCTTTGTATTTTGTTTTCAACTAAATATGGGAGATAACTCCCAACAAAACAATTCAAGGGAGACAAATATATACAGTATGACTAGGGACATGTTCCTGCTACCACAGAAAGTCACTCCTCATATGTGCCTAACAGTCACTTACACATTAAAGAACCTCAATTATTTACATTTTAAATGAACATAATGTATTGAAAAAAGAAATTGAAGGTACACGCATTCACTTGATCACATAATAAAAGAAACAACTATTGTCTTAACATTATCAGGCACAAAGTGTTTGAGTAATCTATATCTGAATATTGGAAACTCCTGTCATAAGTGGTAAAGGTGTAAGCAGGAAATAACTGCATGTTGGATAGTTAGTAAAAGGTGAGAGAAAAGTAAGTCCACACTTAGTAAACATCTTATTAAACATTATAAGCCTTGAGTCTAAAATCTTGACATGAAATATGTTAATATTAACCTGGAATGCTGCCTAACATTTTAGCTCTACACACAACACGAGTCCTCATTTTGGTATTATGATCCCTCTCTGGTCTCGGCTCTGCTAGCACACCCTCTGGCCAAAATGAATCTCTACAAATAACATGCATAACATATTATCACCATAATATATAATTTTATTTCTTTATATCAACTGGCATGGTTAACTTATATTGTCAAGTCCAAAGCTAAAGCAATGTGGTACATAATACATACCGGTAAATATGAAATACATTGGCAGACTGTTACTTAATCCTTTTTATTTTACGGACAGGTGGGGAACTTGACATCAGGCCTTAGCAAGAACATGCTGTTCTGTTCATTTATATGAAAGGATTGGAAACATATTCCAGAAATTTGTAAACTATTCTATGTAGGTCGGGGCAAATAACTTCTGTGCTAATTTTCAAATTACTACCTTTCACTCTAAAATTAGCATTTTTATAGTGAAAAATGACTCAAAAAGCTTTTTGCTCAAATCAACTAAGACTCACACTAAAAATTGATACTTCTTTATTATCATTTGTAGATTTTTCAGCATAAGTGCTTCAATTGAACTTTGAAAGAATTTCAGATAGATATTAAGTTAAAAAGGATAACTTCTAAAAATATTGCTTTCAGGATAATGTCCCTCACCTTAAATGTGCCTTGTTATGATTATAAAGTATTGCAAGTTTAATGTCAATTTCTTTCATAGTTTTGAAAACATTCTACATAATAAGCAACTTTGAAAAAAGAATCAAAGTTAAGAGGGACATAACTTCAAAATTACAGCTTTCAGAATAATGCCCCTTCTTCAACAACTGTGTCTTGATAAATAAGCATACAAAGTTTAAAAATCTTCTACTCAATAAGCAATACTGCGGAAAAACAGTAAGGAGGGGTACAATTCTTAAAAATTTAGTTTTCAGAAGGAATTTTTTTGTCTTACAACTGCACCTTGTCTTGATAAACAAGTTTTGTGTGGAAACATGTATCTTTTAAAGTGTTTGAGGAATTGGCAATACTAAAGTTTTTTAAAACCATAACAACACAGCAATCTTAATAGTTTGACTTTTTCTTAGGAAACAGACAAGCTAAAACTGAAAAATAAAGGAGAGGAAGCTGATTTGTATTAGGACTAGCAGTAACTCATGTATGAATTTATGTAAATGTACATGTAAATACGACAATTTTCTTGTGTTTTCTTTTACAGGTAACTGATAAATATACGGGAAATATCTTAAGCCCACAGGCCTCTTTCTCCAATAATGAAATAATGAGAAGGAACAATGGTACTCAAATTTTTCTCCATACAAATGTAAAATAAAATATAAACAAAATGACCATGTCAGAATGACATGAAAAATCAGTATTACCTAAAAGCTTTGATGTACTCTGCGACCTGCTCTGCAGATGTCATGAAGTCAACATGTTCCACAATTTTCCTAAAATGCAAAACAATGTTCACATTGAATAGATTAGTGTTTAACATAATCATGAAATAGTAACAGGCAGCTATATCATTTACATATGGGAACAAAAATCATACCTTATAACTGTATACTATTACTATAGAAGTTAGAGGTAGTGTGATCTGTTTCAATTCCCAAACTATTTCTATGCCTAAAATAAATATTTTCCTGTACCATTCACAGAATGATCAGTTTGCCAGCATGGGCAAATTTACCTTTGACATTAAATAAGAAACGGACTTTTACCTTGTTCCAATTTTTTGTCACACTGGGTGCTTCTCCAGTTTAGTCATATGCAAGAGTGTTAAATAATATAAAGTTGAAAAAAAAACATCAAGGATCTTCCTTTTTCAAGTAATCTTATGAAATTCTTATTCCGTAAAATTCTTTTGTCATAAATATTTAAGTCTTAATTTGTTAAAAAAAAACAAGAAAACATACTTATTCATTCTATCACCAAGTATTGCCTTAATAAGTTGCTTGAGAACACGAACAATTTGTCGCCGCAACCACTGGTTCTTTAATCTCAAATCAAACACTTCATCCATGAGTAAAAGCATGATACGTAATGGAATGTTTTCACCAATCTGTATAAAAAACACTTATTATGATACACCTGGTCACTTCATTTTTATTCTCAACAGAAAACAAGACAAAAATTCTAGGTCCATATCAACTTTATCAAATTTAAGAAATATTTATTACAATTCATTTGTGCATCATACTGAAACAAGAGCAGGTTGAACCGGGTGATGCTCCCCAAATAGGTTTTGGACACAGGAAGGTATACCTCTTGTTGTGTCAGAGTTATGTCACAGACAAAGTTCAAAGTGTAAAAACAACCCAAATATTGTGCACGACACATTGTCTCAATATGGTGATCATTTTTGTGAAAATAGTTGTAAAATCCGACTTCAAAATAACGAAGTTATGCGCCTGACATTATTTTGCTGCAAGGTCATGCTGTGACCTTGACCTTCAAGGTAGTGACCCAAATGTTGCATGCGACACGTCGATTCAATATGGTGATCATCTCTGTGAAATAGTTGTTAAATCCGACTTCCAGTAACAAAGTTATGGGCCGGACACGATTTTGCTGCAAGGTCATACCGTGACCTTGACCTTCAAGGTAGCGACCCAAATGTTGCGCGCGACTCAATGTCTCATTGTGGTGATCATTTCTGTGAAATAGTTGTAAAATCCAACATCAAATAATGAAGTTATGTGCCGGACACGATTTTGCTGCAAGGTCATGCTGTGACCTTGACCTTCAAGGAAGCGACCCACATGTTGCGCGCAACACATTGTCTCAATATGGTGATCATTTCTGTGGAATATTTTTTAAATCCAACTTCAAATAACAAAGTTATGGACTGGACACGATTTTGCTGCAAGGTCATGCTGTGACCTTGACCTACAAGGAAGCGACCAAAATATTGCGCGCGACACGTCGTCTCAATATGGTGATCATTTCTGTGAAATATTTTTAAAATCCAACTTCAAATAACAAAGTTATGGACCGGACACGATTTTGATGCAAGGTCATGCTGTGACCTTGACCTTCAAGGTAGCGACCCAAATGTTGCACGCGACACGTCGTCTAAATATGGTGATCATTTCTGTGAAATATCTTTAAAATCTGACTTCAAATAATGAAGTTATGGACCGGACACGATTTTGCTGCAAGGTCATGCTGTGACCTTGACCTTCAAGGTAGCGACCCAAATGTTGCGCACGACACATCGTCTTAATATGGTGATCATTTCTGTGAAATAATTTTAAAATTCAACTTCAAATAACAAAGTTATGGGCCGGACACGAATTCGGTACGTACGTACAGACGGACGTACCAAAATTTGATGTTTATGAGGCAAATCAGCTCATAAACACCGCCTGGACCAACGTCCATAAGCAAAATAAGCTCATAAAAACAACAAAATAGCTCTTAATTTGAATTTCATGAGTTTTTGTTCTTTATTTAACTACGGAATGAAGCTCATAATAATCAAATGTTTGCTCGGACTGACGGACTGATGGACGGACAGATTTTTCGGGGAGCATAAATATAACCTGAAGGCTTAATTTGTGGGCAAAATATCTGATCCTTAAATTTGTCGTCAAAAAAACGTTTCTTTGTACATGTTTGAAGTTTACTATAAAAGTTAGCTTACAATCAAGAACGTAATATTGATCTAAATGTCTATAGATTATGGTAATCAAAAGATACATACTTCTGGGTCCAGCCCAGCTCCAACTTTTGTTCCCTGATTCAATGAACCTCCCTTCAATGAGTCCTGGAATAAATAATACATTTTTGCTATATTATTTCATCAGATTTAAAGTATACAGCAGGATTCAAACCTGCAGCAGAGAGGTTAGTGATTCTTATTCATTCAGCCATAAATTGTAATTAAACATTTACAGCATTCTTCACTGAATATTTAGCATTCATTTGAAAATCATAGTATTCAACTTAAAGTTTTATCAAGTGAAGAAAACATGTTGGATTTTCATAAATACAGAATACACATGTATTTCAATTTGAACTGTGACCTATGATGATGAGACTATAACCTATATCTCACTTCTTGATGTGATATAATCTATATCACACTAAACAAGCATGATGAGACTATAAGCTATATCTCACTTCTTGATGTGATATAATCTATATGACACTAAACAAGCTTGTACAATAAAGGAGATCAGATATTTATGTGTATCTCTTCCTATTTTCGAGCATCATGCAAGCTACAATCTGCAAGCAGAGTGCGAGCACTAAACCTCGGCCTTTTTGGTCATCATTTCTCCTTTATCTCCTGTACTGTTTGAGTGCTAGAAGTGAAAATCATGACAATGTATAGCCCAAGAAAGCAGTATTTTTCTCCATATAATGTGACACAGGTTTTTTCCATCTTGCAAATGACCATTACCTGGAAAGCCTGAATAAGCCATGAAATCATTTTCTTACCCCACATTATCTGGAAAGCCCGAATAAGCCATGAAATCATTTACTTACCCTACATTATCTGGAAAGTCTGAATAAGCCATGAAATCATTTACTTACCCCACATTATCTGGAAAGTCCAAATAAGCCATGAAATCATTTACTTACCCCACGTAATCTGGAAAGCCCGAATAAGCCATGAAATCATTTACTTACCCCACGTAATCTGGAAAGCCCAAATAAGCCATGAAATCATTTACTTACCCCACGTAATCTGGAAAGCCCAAATAAGCCATGAAAGCATTTACTTACCCCACGTAATCTGGAAAGCCCAAATAAGCCATGAAATCTTTTACTTACCCCACGTAATCTGGAAAGCCCATCATGGGAAATATTTTTGATATTTTCAGGCATTTGTATCACAGCATGTCCAACAGTTTTTAATGGATTAACTATTGTGTCCATCTAGAAATATATCATCAACAGTTTTTAATGGATTAACTATTGTGTCCATCTAGAAATATATCATCAATAGTTTTTAATGGATTAACTATTGTGTCCATCTAGAAATATATCATCAACAGTTTTTAATGGATTAACTATTGTGTCCATCTAGAAATATATCATCAATAGTTTTTAATGGATTAACTATTGTGTCCATCTAGAAAATATATCATCAACAGTTTTTAATGGATTAACTATTGTGCCCATCTAGAAAATATATCATCAACAGATTTTAATGGATTAACTATTGTGTCCATCTAGAAATATATCATCAACAGTTTTTAATGGATTAACTATTGTGTCCATCTAGAAATATATCATCAACGGTTTTTAATGGATTTACTATTGTGTCCATCTAGAAATATATCATCTACAGTTTTTAATGGATTAACTATTGTGTCCATCTAGAAATATATCATCCACAGTTTTTAATGGGTTAACTATTGTGTCCATCTAGAAATATATCATCTACAGTTTTTAATGGATTAACTATTGTGTCCATCTAGAAATATATCATCTACAGTTTTTAATGGATTAACTATTGTGTCCATCTAGAAATATATCATGGGCAACAGTTTTTAATGGATTAACTATTGTGTCCATCTAGAAATATATCATCAACAGTTTTAATGGATTAACTATTGTGTCCATCTAGAAATATATCATCAACAGTTTTAATGGATTAACTATTGTGTCCATCTAGAAATATATCATGGGCAACAGTTTTTAATGGATTTACTATTGTGTCCATCTAGAAAATATATCATCAACAGTTTTTAATGGATTAACTATTGTGTCCATCTAGAAATATATCATCAACAGATTTTAATGGATTAACTATTGTGTCCATCTAGAAAATATATCATCAACAGTTTTTAATGGATTAACTATTGTGTCCATCTAGAAATATATCATCAACAGTTTTTAATGGATTAACTATTGTGTCCATCTAGAAAATATATCATCAACCGTTTTTAATGGATTAACTATTGTGTCCATCTAGAAATATATCATCAACATATTTTAATGGATTAACTATTGTGTCCATCTAGAAATATATCATCAACAGTTTTTAATGGATTAACTATTGTGTCCATCTAGAAAATATATCATCAACAGTTTTTAATGGATTAACTATTGTGTCCATCTAGAAATATATCATCAACAGTTTTTAATGGATTAACTATTGTGTCCATCTAGAAATATATCATCAACAGTTTTAAATGGATTAACTATTGTGTCCATCTAGAAATATATCATCAACAGTTTTTAATGGATTAACTATTGTGTCCATCTAGAAATATATCATGGGCAACAGTTTTTAATGGATTAACTATTGTGTCCATCTAGAAATATATCATGGGCAACAGTTTTTAATGGATTAACTATTGTGTCCATCTAGAAATATATCATCAACAGTTTTAATGGATTAACTTTTGTGTCCATCTAGAAATATATCATCAATAGTTTTTAATGGATTAACTATTGTGTCCATCTAGAAATATATCATCAACGGTTTTTAATGGGTTAACTATTGTGTCCATCTAGAAATATATCATCAACAGTTTTTAATGGATTAACTATTGTGTCCATCTAGAAATATATCATCAACAGTTTTTAATGGATTAACTATTGTGTCCATCTAGAAATATATCATCAACCGTTTTTAATGGATTAACTATTGTGTCCATCTAGAAATATATCATCAACCGTTTTTAATGGATTAACTATTGTGTCCATCTAGAAATATATCATCAACAGTTTTTTATGGATTAACTATTGTGTCCATCTAGAAATATATCATCAACAGTTTTTAATGGATTAACTATTGTGTCCATCTAGAAATATTTCATTGGTAATGGAAATAATTCACATTAACATAATGAGCATATGTAATTTCTATGATTGCTCACTAATGTTAAAAATCATATTTGAATACATCTATGATCAAATTTCTTATTTTAAAATGTAGATTAGTACAAATGTATCATAAATAGACATAAAAAGTTAAATATAAAGAATCCAGAACAATTATTTACACTTTCTTACTTTCCACTATTTACTATTTTCAGTTGATAATTGTTTGCTTTATTTCTTTACCTTTAGTAAGTGAAATGTGATTTAGTATGCATTTATATATATCTGTAGTAAACTAAGTTAAATGTTAAAAGCTTTCAGATAAGTAAGGTATGTTTTGTTCTTATAACAATCATACAAAGTTATGAATTCATGGACAAATATACAATTTAAACAAACCTTTCTGGCTAAATCACTTTTATGTCGTTCCCACATTCCAGGTGCCAGAAATTTTAGCACAAACTCTTTCACCCGTGGATGTTGATCCCAAAGTTTAGGTGATAATAATGTCTGCAAATAAATCAAATCTGTCAAAAGATCAACATTTGAGTCGCGTCACGACAAAACCAACATAATGGGTTTGCAACCAGCATGGATTCAGACCAGCCTGCGCATCCGCGCAGTCTGATCAGGATCCATGCTGTTGGCTATCAGTTTCTCTTCTTGTAATAGGGTTGGAAAGCGAACAGCATGGATCCTGATCAGACTGCGTGGATGCGCTGCCAGGTCTGGATCCATGCTGGTCACAAACCCAATTTGTTGGTTTTGTCATGACACGGCTCATTTATTCATTCAATATATACAAAATGATTTGACAAATGTTGTCATTATCTGCTTATAGTAAACAAAAGACATGCATGTAAAACACAACTCTCTTGACCAAATTTCTGTTGAAGATTTCATTCAATATTTTTTGACAATAAAGATAAAGGCAAAATTTCAGTATTACAATATAAAACACTTGAGGTATGGTCAGTCCACCTACAAAATTGTAACTTAATTAAATAGAATTAAATGGAAAATGAAAGATTATTTGCAAAGAAAAATATCTCTCAACCTCACAGTGTATAATTAACATAAATTCACAGAAAGACATATCCATTATACAATTCCAAATGAGTGTTTTCAGTAAACATTAAATTAAAGAACAAGTAAACATTAAATTAAAGAACAAGTAAACATTATATTAAAGAACAAGTTAACATTATATTAAAGAACAAGAACCTGTAGGTAATTGTCTAGTGCTTTTCTTCTTTTCTCCAGGAATTCTTCACCAGTTTTCTTTAAAAATGTTTTGGGTGGGAGGCTTGGTCCATGAAAATGTGGCAACTGAAAGGAAAATGCTGACAAAATTAAGATCAGAAACTAGGAATGAGTCTGAAGGACAAAGACGACCCCACTATATCTGTGAGGACACCAAATGATATGAAGAAAGATGTTTTGACAAAATAGCTGGTATTTCATAAATTTTTTTTGCAATGAAAGACACAGATGGTTGTTAATATAAACAAGAGGGCCCTGAGGTCGCTCACCTGTATATAGCCCACCCCCACCCCCCCAACCCCCAACGTTGCAGGGCCAATTTAACCCAAGGGCTTTTATTTGCACAATCTTGGTAGACACCCATAAGAAGATGTTTCATGCTAAACATCTAAGCTCTAGCTCATTGGGCTTTTTAAAAGAAGATTTTTTTAAGTTTTTACTATACACATAGTTAAAAACAATGACACCCCTGGGGCCGGGCCAGTTTTGACCCCAGGGCTTTTATTTGAACAAACTTTGTAGACACTTACTAGAGGATGTTTCATGCTTAATTTCTAAACTCTAGCTATTTGGGTTTTTTCAAAGAAGATTTTAAGTTTTTGCTATACACATATAAAGAAAATCAATGACCCCCGGGGCGGGGCCAATTTTAACCCCAGGTCTTTTATTTGAACAAACTTTGTAGACACTCACTAAAAGATGTTTCATGCTTAATATCTTAACTCTAGCTATTTGGGTTTTTTCAAAGAAGATTTTTTTAAGTTTTTACTATACACATATAAGGAAAATCAATGACCCCCGGGGCGCGGCCAATTTTGACCCCAGGGATTTTATTTGAAGAAACTTGGTAGACACCTATTAGAACATGTTTGATGCTAAATATCTTAGCCATAGCTCTTCGATTTCTTTAAAAGAAGATTTTTTAAGTTTTTACTATATGCATATAGGGAAAATCAATGAACCCCCGGGGCGGGGCCAATTTTGACCCCAGGGCTTTTATTTGAACAAACTTGGTAGACACTTATTAGAACATGTTTCATGCTAAATATCTTAGCTCTAACTCTTTTGGATCTTTAAAAGAAGACTTTTTAAGTTTTTACTATATGCATATAGGGAAAATCAATGACCCCCCGGGGCGGGGCCAATTTTGACCCCAGGGCTTTTATTTGAACAAACTTGGTAGACACCCATTAGAACAAGTTTCATGCTAAATATCTTAGCTCTAGCTCTTTGGGTTCTTTAAAAGAAGATTTTTTAAATTTTAACTATATGCATATAGGGAAAATCAATGACCCCCTGGGGCGGGGCCAATTAGACCCCAGGGCTTTTATTTGAACAAACTTGGTAGACACTCACAAGAAAATGTTTCATGCCAAATATCTAAGCTCTACCTCTTATGGTTTTTGAAAAGAGGATATTTTAAGTTTTTTCTTTTGGTTGCTATGGCAACCAGAGTTCTGCATGGAATTAAATTCTTTGAACAATTTTTAAAGGTTACCACCAAAGGAACATTCCTGTGAAGTTTGGATGAAATTGGCTTAGTGGTTTATGAGGAGATGTCATTTAAAGTAAAAGTTTACGGACAGACGACGGACGGATGACGGACGAAAAGCGATCACAAAAGCTCACCCTGTCACTTTGTGACAGGTGAGCTAAAAATCTTAAAATTCACAAGACCTTAACAAAATTCTCAGTTTAGTCTGTACTGGAGCATCGAAGTTGAAAATAAAAGTACAATAGTTTTTTTGGATATGTAACAATTACTTTCATTGTCAAAGTAAAACATTGGTTATCATACCAGATAGGATAACAATACCTTATTATGCTCAACAATTTTGTGTACTGAGTTTACAATCCCTGAGTTCAGAATGAACCAAATAAGGTTTTCTAACTGTTAACCTTTGACCTCTAAGTGTGACCTTGACCTTGCAACAAGGGTCTTCTTGGCATGCCACACTGTCTTATCATGCCTAGCATGTGTGCCACAACATCCTTTGATGCATGACAAAGTAAATGACCAGACAAGATTTTCTAACTGCTGACCATTGCATTCTAAGTGTAACCTTGACCTTGGAGCTTTGGGTCTTGGTTGTGTGCATAACACACTTATGGATTATGGGTCAGATAAGAACTACTCACTGCTATCAGTTTCCTTTTTTCTTAAAACTGGTTCAAATTATCCCTAAGCCTGCTAGCCATGCTTCTAGAGCAAGCCAAGGCCCTATTTGATATTCAGTCAGTACATATTTAAAAAATTTCCCTAACAATAAGTAATGGTTTTGCCATGATTGATAGGTGGACAAGCCAATTTGAGATATTTAGCATGAAAAGGGTTACAAAATGTCATGACTTCTGGTCACTCAAGCGTAACAAAACTTACTATATTTATATAACAGAGTTGGTTTTAACAGCTATGTTTTATCTTTGGTACATGCATCTAAATTTAAAGAAATATATATGCAGTAAAACTTGAGTAACAATGTAGTAATCTTTACTTGTTTCCTGGTTATTTCATTTTTTAATCCTGAAGGAACTTACCTTTTCTGACATTATCATTTGCAAGTCATGAAAATCACTAAATCTTCTATATACATCCCAAATTTCTTCATCATCACACAAAATCTTTGTCACTCGTATTGAAAACACTGCATATGATTTACCCGACTTTTCTGACTCCCGAACAATACCTTTAAAGTGAGTGAGAAATTTCATAAAATTTTAAATTAAAATTTTGTTGTTTTGTTTTGAAGCTCTGATTAACAACCTGGAACTAAATAATGCTATAAAGGTGCCATGAGGAAAACAGCAACAAGATTATTGCATTAAACATATAAAATTATTATTTAAGGAAACATTTCTTTGAATCCACAAGCCTTTCAAATTATTATATTACTCCAATTACTAAATTCTGACCTAGATTGGAACTATTAATAAAACTTTTGTATAGGACTTCCAATGAAATTTGTGGTAAATGTATTAAGTAGGTTGGGAGGAATAGTTTTCGAGACATAACTGACAAAAGGACATGTAGGCTTTCAAACATTTCATTGTGGCGGCATGACCAAGCAGATAACGCTTCAGACTAGTAATGTAAGGATTGCTGACAGTGTGGTTTCAAACCCTGTCAGGGGCAAGCCATTGTTTGCTTGAACAAGAAACTTTACATAAATACTGGTTGGTTCCAGAAACGAATTCAAGACTGTTTCAATAAGCTTATAGCTACCAACACAATCAAACTAAAATAAATTTGTATAAACTTTTACATTGCTTTCGCTAAAGCTAGCATTTGACAGTAATGGTTCAGTATATATGATTCACTACTACAAACAAGAAACATAACTCTTATAATTCGCACAATGAGTTACATAATGGAAGTTAATCAACATAATACATGGTAAACTGGAAATGATCATACAGTATTATATCACTGACAAATTGATAACAAAAGTTACCTGTTTGTGAAATTTGAGCTTTTATAGTGAATGAAGTATTGTTGGATGTATAAGGAGAATTGGATCGTGAATTGTTGTCGTACAGAGATGATGATGTAGATGTACTATCTGATGAATCATTCATATCATTCTGAAATAAATATATTATATATATTATACAGAGTATATTGAAACATTGTAGATATGATATTAAATCTAATGAACAAATTGAATAAAATCATATCAAGTGATTGCGAGACTCTGGCAGACACAACATAATTGTTTTATTGAATTCAATAAATTTATTATTGAATCTACTCGATTTTTTAAATGTTTAAACAATAACACCGTTCAAAAGAGACATTTTTCGTTGATACATCTATAATGTAACATTAACATTGAGTGCGCTTGAACACAATGTTTGTGTATGAATCACATCACATAAAAATTTTATTACAATTGTGTAATATCAATTTTATTAAATGGCCTTTATTACACTCCTACTCTGTGGTTTATGTGATAAAAAGGTATCTTGACTTGGAACCTGTAATTGGCTCGCAATGCCTGGAACTCACAAGGTGTGACCTATTTTAAGGAAAATCCACAGGAATCAAATTAACAGTTATAGATCAAATGCCTTATAGGTTCCTTTAAAGTCAGATAAGTCTAGTGTTTTACTTTAATCTTATAAAAAAACATTTGGATTAATCAATTCAGTATTAAATTATATATTGTACTAGAACTCCGCGAGTTGGATGTGTCGCCTTGTGAACAATATAGTTTAGGAGAAATGGCCAGGACAAAAATGAAATATGAAAACTAACAAAGGTAAGGCCCCCACGGTTACGCGTTTAAACGGATTCGTTTCGATTTTCAGTCGAAAACGTTTACGATAATTTTAACCGTTTAATCGAAATGACCATATTGTCTTACAAAATATCCTAATAATTGCCGTAATCATGAATTCTATCAATTTTAATTGGTTTATTCCAAAGTAAAATACGTAAAATAGGTAATTACAACCCTCCACACACCATTACCGGCACTAATCGTGACATAATACATTGGTAAAGTTAATTTTCCTTTGATCTATCAAAAGAGCGAAACAGGGATACTATGCAGAAAATGTGTGTGGACTCAATCATGATGAGCCCTGAACATTAAATTATTTGTAAATAAAAAGTAAGTCATCATTTGGAGACTTGAATAAATGGTGCAGTATAGTACAAACTAGAAATGCGTCCATAGGACACGGATGCCCCCACACGCCACTGTTCTGTCAATCTTATTACTCTAGGTCAAATATTTTTTAGACTACATGTGCCACAAGTTGAAAACTAAAAATCAACAAAGGGCCATAATTCTGTAAAATTTGGTCGCGGCAAAAATTCCTTCCTTTACTACCATCTACACATTGAGGTTGTTCATCCCTGGAAGTTTAAGCAAAATCTGACATCCGGTTTAAGAGGAGTTGCGTTCACAAAATTTCTACATAGTATATAGTGAAAAAAATCAACAAAGGGCCATAATTCTGTTAAATTTGGTCGCAGCAAAAATTCCTTCCTTTACTACCATCTACACATTAAGGTTGTTCATCCCTGGAAGTTTTAGCAAAATCTGCCATCTGGTTTAAGAGGAGTTGCATTCACAAAATTTCTACATACATGTAGTATATAGAGAAAAAATTAACAAAGGGCCATAATTCTGTTAAATTTGGTCGCAGCGAAAATTCCTTCCTTTACTACTATCTACACATTAAGGTTGTTCATCCCTATAAGTTTAAGCAAAATCTGCCATCCGGTTTAAGAGGAGTTGCGTTCACAAAATTTCTACATAGTATATAGTGAAAAAATCAAAAAAGGGCCATAATTCTGTTAAATTTGGTCGCAGCAAAAATTCCTTCCTTTACTACCATCTACACATTTAGGTTGTTCTTCCCTGTAAGTTTAAGCAAAATCTGCCATCCGGTTTAAAAGGAGTTGCATTCACAAAATTTCTACATAGTATATAGTGAAAAAATTAACAAAGGGCCATAATTCTGTTAAATTTGGTCCCAGCGAAAATTCCTTCCTTTACTACCATCTACACATTAAGGTTGTTCATCCCTATAAGTTTAAGCAAATCTGCCACACGGTTTAAGAGGAGTTGCGTTCACAAAATTTCTACATAGTATATAGTGAAAAAATCAACAAAGGGCCATAATTCTGTTAAATTTGGTCGCAGCGAAAATTCCTTCCTTTACTACCATCTACACATAAAGGTTGTTCATCCCTGTAAGTTTCAGCAAAATCTGCCATCCGGTTTAAGAGGAGTTGCGTTCACAAGATTTCAGGACGTACGGACAGACAGACGTACGGACGGACGGACAGACGGACGGACAAGTGCAACGCTATATGCTCCCACTTTGTGGGGGCATAAAAAGTACCATCGTTTAAACGGTATCGTTTCGGTTCTTAGCAATCGTGTAAACGTTTACAAAAAAATGTAAACGTGGGAGCCTTAAACAAAGGGCAATAACTCAAAAAATAATAAGTGCAGAGCAGCAGTTTCTGTGCACTGCACTTCTTATCAATAAGATCTATCATTCTATGAAGTTTCAAGTCCATATCTTTTATAATTTATGAGAAATAGCCTGGACAAAAATAAATTATGAAAATTAATAAAGGATAATAACTCACAAGTAAGAAGTGCAGAGTACCGGTTCTTGTATACTGCACTTTTTCTTAAAGAGATCTATCATCCTATGAAGTTTCATGTCCATAGCTTTCATACTTGAGGAGAAATGACCAGGACAAAAATAAAGAAAGAAAATCAACAAAGGGCAATAACTCAAAAAATAAGAAATGCAGAGTACCTGTTCTTGTGCACTGCACTTCTTCTTAATGAGATCTATCATCCTATGAAGTTTCAAGTCCATGGCTTTTATACATTAGGAGAAATGGCCCGGACAAAAATAAAGTATGAAAATTAACAAAGGGCTATAACTCAAAAATTAGGAAGTGCAGAGTACCGATTCTTGTGCACTGCACTTCTTCTTAATGAGATCTATCATCCTATGAAGTTTCAAATCCATAGCTTTTTTAGTTGAACAGAAATGGCCGGGACAAAATTAAAGTATGAAAATTAACAAAGGGCAATAACTCAAAAATTAAGAACTGCAGAGTACCGGTCCTTGTGCACTGCACTTCGTGTTATTGAAAGAAGCATGCATACCAAGTTTGAAGTCAACCAGACTTATAGTGACTGAGTTATGCTCCGGACAAGCTTAAGGGGACGCCGACAACGACGCCTACACAGACGACGTCGACGACAAAAGTAACCCCTATATGTCGCCATTTGAAGGCGACACAATAAAGGTATTATTTAACATATATGCATTCTTTATACATTGGATGATATGCATTCTTATACATTGGAAGATATGCATTCTTTATACATTGGATGATATACATTCTTTATACATTGGAAGATAAGTAATAGAAAGAGCACCGAAACACGAGGTTATCTGATTTGTACGAGGGGGCGTAGCCCCCCGAGTATAAATCAGATTACCGAGTGTTTTGGTGTTCTTTCTCTTTTGTATCATAGTCAAACATAATAACACGTTCCCTGTTGTCACAATATGAAACCCCGGCAAAAATGAACCAATGAACGAGCATCTAAATATGACATTTCTGACGATTTCACTTCACTGCCGTCACAATATGTAAACCCCAGCAAAAATGAGCCAATCAATGGGCATGCCCTGGAGTGCGGGTAACTAATACCCGCACTCCAGTTAACGCACTGTGCATGTATATGTATACGATTTAACCCTGACACATTTTCAACAGAAAGGTCTCCAAACTTTGATACAAGCTATGATTAACATCTCTATTTTGTTACAACATAATGATAAATTTATTACCTTATACAAATATTCATTGATTTTGATAATAAATAATGTTCCCCTTTTGTTTTTTGATTCTTTGTTTTTAGTAAATCAATTTTTAATACATTCCCACTCACCATTTTTTTACCCTTAACAAAATAAATAACATTCAAATAGGAATTTGCTATGGATGAGAGATGTCCTGAAAATCCTAAATTCAGTTTTTCTTTTATACTTCTGCATTTAAAAAGTGTTTGAAAATGCTGTATTCACAAATATTACTATGTTATAAGTGATAAGTGACACTAACATTAGACTTTTATATTATAAGGATGTTTTCAAATTTACCGTCAAATCTCTCAGAGCTAATCTTTACTTTTAAATCTATAACAGTTAGAGATGCTTCCATTGACATTTTTATGAGAACTTGAAATTATTGGTCTATAATGAAAGGTTTGTAATACTATAACTGATTCTGTTGCTAGTGTTTATAAGAAATATATATGGATGGTTTTGGTAGGTATGAGATACAAAATCTGATATTATATCTATAACCAATATATACAAAGCAGATAAGAAAGAAACAAACAAACAAAGAAACAAAAAAAGGAAGGTTTTCATTAGAATATGCAGAAAGGAAGAAAAAAGGAATAATTAAGAAAGAAAGGGAAGAAGAAAAGTGATGGGAAAGACAAACTGGCACCTATAAGCTCGATAAAAAATTCTAGTGAGCAGAAATATATAATCAGTCAGGGCTGTTCATTAGCCAGTCCTTATCACCTTTATATAATTTAAGCTTTATACATTTTGTACATTAAAAACTCACATTAAAAAATCATGAACAACTAAAGAAAAAAAACATCTGTAGCTATAAAATTTACATATAATATCTAATCAAATGTTGATCATCACAATGCAAGCTGTGTCTGTTAAGAAAGATCCAGACCAGCAAAGTGCAAACATCTTGATATTTCATCATAAAAATTATCAAGCCGTATCAAGCCCAAAGTCATGCATGCTATACATTTTGTTGTTGATAACTCTCACACTTTGCTCGATATTTATAAATAGACAAGAATACCGGCTCAAGCATTTATACATTTATGAAAAAGAACCTTATTAGTAATATTCCAAAAAGTAAAGTTTTTCACTAACATTAAAGTTAATAAACCACAAAGTTTAAATTAGAAAGTATTTTTGTCATACATGGTATGTCTCCTATTAAAGACAGTTCAATACCAACGGTTTACAATAATTTTGCAAAAGTTTTATTATATTTTCGCAATGAATTTTTACTCAGTTTAATTTTGATATGTTCCTGGACACCAATATAAAAAACCCTGGACATGAAAAAAACAACAACAACAACAACACAGAAATTAAACAACAAACATAATAGAGTCTGGCAAAATTGTTCAAGCTGGTGTAATTATTTTTGCTATCTTTTGTAGTGTTGATTATAAAGAGAGTGATTCAGCAACTGAATGCCTAAGTCAACTGGTGGCCATATCTAAACTGTTACATGAAAATGAAAGTATTAACAATCTTATGACAAAATTTGTCAACATGTATTCTAAAATAGAGTCAGTAATATATCAATTTTTTATACAACTGTTGCCACTCTTACAAGAATACAATTATTTCTAACATTAAACTGGTTAGTATGAAAGATTAAACAAATATGCAAGTGGTTAAATTATGTGAAAACACTTACAATATCTTCAGACTTGATAGATTCATCTGTAATCAAAACATAAAACAAGAACATGCACATTATATCCTGCATGAACAAGTAAAATCTCCAACCAACACTAGAGAAAAACATGCAGAAAAATTGTGCATGGAAAATCCATGGTTATCCAATAAAATTATGCTTTTGTTTTTACAATTTATACAGACAAGACTGTGTTCAAATCCATCTGTCCAAATCCTATACTTCATATAGATAACATGGTCTTTAAAGTCAGCTTCTTGCTTTGGTATTTCAACAATCAAACTACAGTATGACTTGTTTTTAAAGACCATTCTGTCAAAAGAGAATATTTATCCATTTAACAATGCTGGACTATATTGTCGAGTTTGACTGTATATCTGTTAAGAATTATGTTTTATTTCTGGATAAACCATGTGGAATTCCCATACATTTTCTTTTACATTTTTTTTTTCATCAGAACAATCATCTGTAGCATCTTCACACATTCTAAAAGGGGTTGCAATAGGTCCTAGCTAACTACTTACATATTGTTACATACAAACATGGCATCTAATGTTATACTTAAAGTCAATACATATCAGCCAACACTGAAAGCTTCATAGCTTGATACTGGCTTAAAAGTTTTATAACATGTGTACGTCAGTAGCTTATGTTACACATAGAAACTATCAAAATTGTAAGCTTCATAGCTCAATATTAGCATGAAACTTTTATATTCAATATGCTTGTTTGTCTGTATTCTTTATTTGAGCACTAGGTGTAATACAGACAATTTATTATTTTATAACTGTTTTTATAGATTATGTACTAGTATAATCCGCAAATAACTGCCAACATCTCCCAATTCTTAGCTATCAGACTGGTGATTAGACAGTTTTAATCAAGCTGGAAATTACATTTGGCATTTGGGGTGCCAGATGAGTCGCTTCTATAAAATGATGTCATTTTAATGCATTTTATAAATGATACTACATGCTCAGGATGACATTATTTTGCCATCATGAATGAAGTTGTAATTTCATACACTATTGTTTGAAAAAAGTAAAAGATGAAATGACATTTATTTCCATGAAACATTACTTTATGGAGGTAAACCATTTAAAATAAGATAGAATATGGTAGAATATGCAAGAAAAAATATCCGACGTTATTGAGGTTTAGATCAAAATATGATCCCTCGAGTACACTGGCCATATACCCTTGGGACGGATATTCCAATCCAAATTGTAACTTATGGCAGATATTATATATTAATGTTACAAAGAAGGACACATGATGTTATTTTTTATTTTAGGATCTTCATGGTCAGTTCACATTCTGTTGCAGATTCTGACCAATCAAATACCTGATATCACTTGGAAAATTTATTAAAAAAATTATTTGATACATAACACTTACTGAAGATACTGGGGCAGACTGGACTTCATATAGCATAGAAACAAAATAGTTAGAATTCAAACAAGGAAAGCCTAGAAAAAAGCTTCAATATTTTAAGAATATAAAAGTTTCAGCCACTTTTGCATTAGCTTTAATTAGAAGTAGAATGTAGAGACACATTTAGTTCAAGCGAAAGATGGTCCACATATTTCTCAATTAGCAAAACTGACTCCCATTAACCCATTAAGATTATGAAAGTTGACACATGGATTCATTCTGATAAATTTCAAACAATTCCTAATAAGTTTTAAATAAATTCTGATTAAATAAAATAATTCCTGAAAACTATTTAATTTTTGAATATTTCCTAATAATTATTAAAAATTTCTTATTTTCTCCTTGAGAAATTTTAATACCAAATTTCACAATTCTAGTATATTTTAATCTAACACCTTCCCACACCTACAAGAAACAGAGGGTGAAATAAGGTGACATAAATGTACACATTGTGAAGAAGAAAGCATGCATTCCCCCATGCTTTATCACTAGACACAGGCATACATATACACATGTATACATTACAGCACATACTTTAAACCAGATGATCCTCTGTACTGAAAGTTAAAGTGAAATCTTCAACACTAAAATAATCATCTTTCAATTCAGTGCTTTATAGTTATAGTAAAGTCTGAAAATTACAAATGCAATCTTACAGGGAATGATAGGCTCAATCTTATATCAACCATTGCTATACATACTCTTGTCCTGGCATGAATCGAAAACAGTCAGTTTCAAGTCTTAAATGGGATAAAGTTCCAGCTTTACTGGTGGAGGAAGACCTCAGATGCTCTTCTGTGCATTATTTCAGGCATGAACGGAGACCTAAGTAGAACCAACGCTGTTCCGTAAGCTAGCTGGATAGCTTCATAACATGAAAGAATCCAAAGTCCCTGTCGGGATTCGAACCCACAGTGGACAGGGGCAAGTGGTTTGAAGTCACAGGTATAGAGTGTGGCCAGACTTCATTGAAGTGCAAGTTGGCCTACTTCTATACCAGTAGTATAAGCATTTCAATATCTTCACAAGTATTCATAATTACAGGGAGTTAAACATTGTACACTTACCATCTTCTAAACTAAGACCATCAGAGTTGTCATTCTTGTCATTTGAGAAGCCGAGTTCCTCTAAAAGTTTCAAGTACACCGGGCTTTGGATAAATGTCTCATAATATTCTTTTTCATGAAGTAGCTGGTAAACCTGGAGCAAATATTATATAAATAAAAAATATTTACTAACAGAAAAGACAGATCATTTACATGTTTAATACATATAAAATTGTTGATAGTTACCTTTTGAAGTGCTTAAACTTATGTGATTTGCCTTTTTAGACAATATGTATGTTAAAGGAAAATAACAAATAGACCAATCAGCTGTAATTGGTCTAACACTTTTCATTCAATAGTAATATGGCATTTAATGTAGATTCTTGTTCTAAATAATAGCTTTCATGTTGGTAAATTCCACTGCTCACTAACATAAAATTATAAACAGTTAATTTTAACCTTTTAATTGATACCAAGTTACATTATTCTGTCACTCTTTAGCATTATAGGGAAAGTCATCAATGTTAGTCAATAAGAGACCAGAATCCTCTGAGCTTCAAACATATCGACCTGTATTACATCCTTATATGAAAGAATTTAAAGTCTCTGGCTTGATTCAAACCAAATGCATTTGGGCTAGAAACAGCGCTCTGAAGTCAGAAATCTTATTCTTTAACCCTTTCCCCCATGAGCATATTGTGAAAAATGGCCGTTTTCACTGAAAAGCCTCCTCTTACAAGTTCAAACTGCTATGAAACTATGAAAAATGCTTCAATACTAATCAAACTTGGCACAAATGTTGACTGGACCATTGCCTTTGTAACGACATGCTCAGTCTTAAATTTCCTGTTACCATGGCAATGAGGGGACATCTCAAAATTGCCAAAAATCACTATTTTGCAACGATTTTTTCCATCAAAATTTATTTCAAAGTGCTGCAACTTCTAAAGGGATTGAGATAGAGTCAAAGGCTTTTCAGCGTTGGTTACACGTTACCTTATGATCGACCTGGTGTCATTTAAAGCCTCTCACAAGTCCAAAATTTTCTTGGTGATGAGGGGGACTCCGACCCCCTTCAAACCCCCCAAACAGAAGGGGGCATTTTTTCACTATTTCAGGCCTAAAAAAGGGGGGGGGTCGAAAGTGCGTTGTTTCGCGTATATATGAGGTAAAGGGTTAAATCTTAACTTGGCCATAGAGATATGCAACACTCCTTTTATAAGTTTATAATCATTTTAAGTACAGGTTAAACATTATAACACAAGGCATACCCTAGCTTGAACTTCATCAAACACCTCGGCAATCAAAGATTTACTCTTGATGTAAGATAGGCATCTCTTTAATATATCTGACTCTATTTTGATCCTTGATGGTGCCTGAAATAAATTTAAATACAAATTCTATATTGAACTTCTCAACTAATTAAAGACCAAGACCCAGCTTGTACTTCAGTACAAATCTAACAAGGATCTAAAGAGTTGACTTATTGGTTGCCTAGTTACTGTATGTAAGGTACCTGCCTATCAATCCTGGGATCATAGTCTAATCCTACAGACATCATCATGTGTCCTCATAAGAAGCCAATACTATGAGGTTATATAAAAGTTTTATTGAGCACAGTTTCAAATCTCAGGATTTTTATTGGTCATTGTATATTATCTGGCAGTTTCTGACCAATCATATACCTGAGTTATTAGTTTGAGCTAAGACAATTTCTTTATGTCCTTGGACACTGGTTCATTTCAGGAAGCAATTCAAAAGTGCTTCAAATGAGATAAACTTTTACATTGGAAAAATGTTAAATCAATATGCATTTACTTAAGCAACTTCGATAATGAGTAAGCCATTTGTTCATACAAAAAAATGCTATTTAAAAATTAAAATCTCTTTTAAAAAGCTTTAAGTGTTTAGGTTAAAGGGTGCACAAATATATAAATGTATGTCGTTCAAGAATCAATAAATTAATATCTACATATGACGACGTTTCTATTGACGTGATGCAATGCTGATATAATTTCCTGTTTATTGTTATTATTTTTATTTATTTATGTAACCTGAAGAAGGCTGTTCAGTCGAAACATTGATATATTAAAGGGAATTTTTAAAAATTTTCAGTTGATTACTAATTTTTTACTATTTATCTACATATGATGTATGTCTAGAACTCATAACTTATCAAGATGGCAAGTCATTTTCTGACAAGCTCAAAGGAATATGAACAAGCAAATTCGTTGAATTTATATCCCCCGCCGAGTACTGGTTATTATTAACACAACAACTGAAGACATAAGGCTTTATTTATATATTAATCATGGCATAAACTGTAATATTCTTTGAACTTGAAGCCTTGTACCTTCAAACAAGAAGAATTTTTAAGTTTTCACTATATACATATAAGGAAAATCTATGACCCCCTGGAGTGGGGCCAATTTTGACCCCAGGGCTAAAATTTGAACAATTTTGGTAGAGGACCTATAGGTTATATCATATACCAAATATCAAAGCTCTAGGCCTTGTACTTTCAGACATGATTTTTTAATTTTGCATTTTTGAAACTCCTTTTCTGGCCCTGTGACCTACTTATGCAACAGACCGGAACCATTTGATCAACTTTGGCAGGGGACCACCCTAGGATCATTCCTGTAAAGTTTGGTTGCTGTGCAGTCATTTGTTTCTGAGGAGATGTTGTTTAAAGAAATTGCTGACGACGGACTGTGGGGGATCACAATAGCTCACATAGATGTAAAAACATCTTAATCTCCAGACTTCATTGCCATTTTCAAGGCATCAAGAAGGGATTTCACAATTTTCAAATATTTTTAAATGTTATTGTAACAAATCATTTTAATTCTTCTTTAATAAAAACTAGAAATCTGTCCATAGGACACGGGTGCCCCCACCGCTCCACTGTTCTGTCAATCTTATGACTCTAGGTCAAATATTTTTTTGAAAACTAAAAATCTTTTTACTAAGTAAAGGCAAGAACTTTACAAATACTGAATAAATCCCCAAGCAAACCCCAAGTTGAAAATTGCAAATTTATACTACTGTAATTCAAGGGCAATAACTCTAACAAAACTGAAAAAAATCCACATGCAAAGTCCCAGGTTCATAGCATCACAGTGAGGTGAATCATTATTCCTGTAATTTAGTGATGTTGATCATTATTCCTGTAAAGTTGGTCGATTCTAACTCAAGCACTCAAGGATCAAATAACAACATAATGAAACAGTTTTTACTAAGTCAAGGGAAATAACTCTACAAATACTGATAAATCCACAAGCGAAACCCCAGGAACAAACTAAATATGCTGAGCAACTTTCCAATAAGGTTTAATGACCCTATGTCAAATCCTTTTTGAGTTACATGCGACACATGTTGTAAATTGCAAACATTTTCTAAGTAAAGGGCAATAACTCTAAAAATACTAAATAAATCCAGACGAAAATAACCAGGTGCACAACTACACATTCTGATCAACATTCCTGTAAAGTATCATGACTCTAGGTCAAATACTTTTTGAGTTACATGCGACACAAGTTGAAAATTACAAAATTTTACTAAGTCAAGCGCAATAACTCTAAAAATACTAAAAATATCCAGACGAAAATACCCAGGTGCACAACTACACATACTGATCAACATTCCTGTAAAGTTTCATGACTCTAGGTCAAATACTTCTTGAGTTACATGCGACACAAGTTAAAAATTACAAAATTTTACTAAGTCAAGGGCAATAACTCTTAAAATACTAAAAATATCCAGACAAAAATACCCAGGTGCACAACTTCACATGCTGATCAACATTCCCATAAAGTTTCGTTGAATTCCAGCCATTAGTTGCAGAGAACTACTCCGGAAACGAAATTCGGACAAAATTTTACTGAGTCAAGGGCAATAACTCTAAAAATACTAAAAATATCCAGACGAAAATACCCAGGTGCACAACTTCACATGCTGATCAACATTCCCATAAAGTTTCATTGAATTCCAGCCATTAGTTGCAGAGAACTACTCCGGAAACGAAATTCGGACGGACGGATGGACGGACGGACGGACAACGCCAAAACTATATCCCCCTCCCGATTCCATCGGCGGGGGATAATAACAATATGGCTGGTTTACCTTTTCTGATAAATACTGATTGTAAATGAGTGTAGCTGCCTTTCTCAATGGTTCAAGGTCCTGGTGGGACTGGGATATATTTGGGTTCTCATTGTTACACCTGATCACCTTCACCTGTAGCTCGGCTGTTGTCCTGAAACCCTGTAACAAAATCATTATTTGGTCACAATACAAAAATATGTCTTACAAAAGTACGAATGATTTTAATTTAACAGGTTTGCAAAGCTGAAATAATAAGGGTAAATACAAGTAGAAAGTAAATGAATCAATCTAGAATGCCTAGTTTCATGCCACGTTCAATGACGTTAGAGCTGCCTTCCTGGTCATTAGGCTACTATATTTACCTCCCCTGGGGATTCTTTCACTCTGTTTATCATAGCCTTAACATGTTGCCCTCTCGGATACCAATTTACACATACATGTAAGTGAATGCAAAGAAGAGCAAATTCCTTGCTCATGTAAAATTAGCAGTGTCCATGATGGAACTTGAATCATGGACGTTTCAATCCCAGATTGCATATCTTACTACCAAACCACTGGTCTAAAAGTTATCAAGTCCACAAATATAACTTAGATATTTTCCTCCAATAAAAGAAATCATCACGCTGACTCTTTTTTTCATGAATGGGCAATAACTGCAGTATAAATGTTATGAGCTGTAAAGGACTACAAGATATGTAATTATGTATTGCTTTCCTCGTTCCCGTAACTTATCTATATTGTATACACTCCTGTCTGAAGCAAGATAACTGACATAGCGAATGTACATAGACAAATGATAATAATAAATATCTAGCCATATTTTCTTTGTTTTGTTGGACTTAAGTTACAATAACACTGTTAATGTCACATGGCATCTTTCTAGCTATACTGGTAGACAAAAATTTAGCACGATTCTTTATGCAGTATTTCAGACATAATTGGGCATCTATGTCGAACCACCAACCTTCTGTAAGCTAGTCTGATAGGTTCTTTCACAGGAGCATTCATAATGTTTGATGGGATTTGAACCCACAATGGTGAGGAACAAGTAGTTTGATGTCAGCACCCTTAACCACTTGGCTTTGAATGGCTAAGGACTGGAGAGTAAAAATGAAGATAAATTTACGAGTATAGACATGTAACAAACCTCGACATTAAGGTAGAAATATATGAGGTTCTCACCACCAACACTGGTCATAAACTCTGAAATATATTTACATAACTATTTTAATAAATTCCTGTCTCATCTGCTATGCAAAGGTTTCAGGATTATCAGTTTTAAAATATTTTACAAATAATCTTAAAAATAAGCACTAATGTTCAGATGTGATACTTTCCATGTTGTATACCTAATATTACTGAAACGATTGTTTTAAAACCATATTTATACTATCCGGAGCGTTTCTACCAAAGTGACAGAATTTTTTTATATTTTGACACAGAACATGCTCAAATCACTTAGTTTCAAAGAAAAATAATATTTTTTGCTATTTGAACCACTCTATCTATTTTTCAACAATTAGCATTTTTTCCAAGTTATGATGCTTTTAATCATAAAATATGAATTACAGAGATAAATATGAGATAAAGTCACTTGCAGCACGCTAAAACAGTGATTCTTAGCTTATTGAATAATAATATCTGTCATATGTTTGCAGTTCAGATTGGAATATACATCTTGAGGGGTTCCACCCATTGGGCCGTAATGAGGCATGCCGAGTTTTTGCCCATGGGACGGGAACCGCAAACATATGTCAGATATTTTTTCTTGCATATTCTACCATATTCCATTATATTTTAAACTACATTATAATTTATATGTATTTACATTAATAAAACAAATTTCCATGGAAATTTATGTCATTACCCCATAACTTTTTTCTCACAACAGTGTATGAAATAACATTAATAACAGTAAAATTACCTCATCCTAAGCATGCCATTGTACAGCACGAAACTCATCTGGCACCCCCATGCCAGATAAAAATTTCCAGCATGGAAAGAGAAACGCCAGTCAGATATGCAAGAATGATCTAGTACAACCTCAATAGAGAAACACCCTTAACAAGACACATATTATAGTTGTTTTGTAGATTTGTTGCCTAAGACAGATTAAATGTATTGTGAAATGTTACTATCAGATAAATTGATACTGTTGTTGAAAAGATGTGACTACAGGGCAGCAATGCAGATGTTACTCTGTAACATCGTTTATTTCTTGAGTAAATTATTAATAATATATACTTACCTATAAAAACTGTTAATGCTATATTATTTTGGATAATGTCATCTAATGATAAAACAAAGAGAGATCTAGTACGACAGTATTCAGGGACCTGAAAAATATAAAAAACTTTATTAAACTATTATAAACATGTATTTATGATTTTAGAAAAAAAATATTTTAATAACAATTTTTGTCCCTTATTCTTTCAGCACCATTATTATAATCTTTTTTGTCCAACTTGAATCTTTGGCTTCTTTTAATTTAAAATGTTTGAGGCAATTTTTAATTTTTAAATATGTTTGTAACATATTTTTACTGTCTGATGACAGTAATTACATACATTAAAGATGAATATTAGTGGCCGAGCACTGCCAGCCAGGAATTACTTTACAAACTAGAGTTGTGGGCCACCTACCCAGAAACCCCTGTGCTGGTGTAATACTGGTGTACAAGTATTTTCTATTAGTATCAGCAAGCAATCTTCTTTGTTAATGACTGGATACTGACACAAACAAAACAATGTTTGTGTTACTGTTACTTCTTTTAGTTTGATGTGAGGAATTAAGTTTTTCACAAATATAACTTTGGAAACTTTTCACATATATCAAGAGCAAGCACCAGGTTTTACTATAATAGTACATTTTGGGAAGTTGTATGTTTGAAATTAAAAGAAGAAAAATCTTGATATTTTATGTCAGAAGGTAGTAATAAGACTGTATTTAAGATATAAAATGAAGTCAAATAAATCCAAAAATGTAATCATTTTAATCATACCTAAGGCTAAATTTAACAGACAATCATAAGGTTACAATGAAGGCCATGTTGAACAAGAAGTCCAGTAAATTGGTAATTTGCCTTAATAAAGCCATAAAGTATATAAAAAAAAATATTTCTTTTAAACTATCTTAACAAAATTAAAGCATTCATTAAGTAAACACGGTTGATTTTTTTCGAGTGCAAAATATAATAAACAAGAGCTGTCCGTAAGACAGCGCGCTCGACTTTTTTATTGCTTGCCAATAAAAAAAGTTTTTGCAGTAAAAGGCAATACAAGAATCTCTGTATTTTTAAAGTGAACAATGGCCATGAGCATTAAGATATTTAGTGAAGAATTATTTTACTGAATTGTGTGATACCCTTGAACACTGCAGCAAAGTTTGAAATGTTTAAGTCAAAAGAGGGCTGGTAAGAAAGAAAAAAAACTTTTTTAGTGCTTGCCTATAATACAAAACATTGACAGTTAAGGGCCATAATTCAAATAAAATCTTTGACAGAATTACCTTCTCCTGGACATGTTTGGGAATCATGATTGTAAACAAGTATTCCAACTTTCAAATTAATATCTCAAACAGTTCAGTCAAAAAGTGGACTGGTACTAAAAACTTAACCAAGATTCTAAGTCGATAAAAGGCCTTAATTTTTAAAACAAATCCTTGACAGAGTTACCTTCTCTTGCGTACAGATGGGGGTAATGATGTGAAATAGCATTAAAAGTTTCAAAGCAATATCTCAAAGGGTTAAGGCAATAAGTGGATTTTACCCATATTCAATGTATTTTCTAAGTCAAAAAGGGGCATAATTCTGTCAAAAACCTTGACAGAGTTATGTCCTCTTGCCTGTTGATGAAGGTCGTGATGGTAAACAAGTATGGTCAGTTTCAAAGCAATACCTCCAATGGTTTTGAAATAAAGTGAGGTGGTACAAAAAACTTAACCAAGCTCAATACACTTTCTAAGTCAAAAAAGGGCCATAATTCTGTCAAAAACCTTGACAGAGTTATGTACTCTTGTCTGTAGATGGAGGTTATGATGGTGAACAAGTATGGTAAGTTTCAAAGCCATACTTGTAATACTTCTGAAATAAAGTGGGGTGGTACGAAAAACTTAACCAAGGTGTGACGCCAACGCTAACGCCGACGCCGACGCCGGGGCGAGTAGGATAGCTCCCCTTTTCATAGAAAAGTCGAGCTAAAAAGCAAATGAATGTTAATATAATTGGTATTTGAATAAATTACACTGTAATTCTGTATTTAATTTACTCAATTCACCTGTAATCACTGTTAATTTTATTGTGTTTTTTATGACATAATTATACATGTGTAAAATAGACTATTTGTATATTTATATTGATACTTGATAGAACATAAGAAATGCATTAATGTTTTCATTGTAAATATTAAATTAGATATACATGTATAAATATTGAAAGGTACAAAGGGGTATGACCCCAACCCTAACATACCTACTACAGGAAAAATAAACAAATTTACCCAGTTGGGGCCTCAAAAAAAAATAAATAAATAAATAAATAAAACACTAATAACTTACATCTGGTGCAAACTCCGTGTCAACAATCCCTTGTTGTAGACGTTTTATTTTCTGCTGACATAATTCCTTTACATATAACAAACTTTGTAAATTCTGCTTGATCATAGAATCTGAAAATAAAGTACACTCATATTGAAAATAGAGTAAACATGTATACAAAGAGTACAGTAAACTTCACTTATAGCGAACACGGTTATAGCTAACTTCCTGTTATAAGGAACAGTTTTTTTGGCCTGAATTTTGCCCTCCTTTATTTAATATAAAAATATACGGTTAAAGGGAATACGATTATAAGGAATTATCGATTATAAGGAACTCATTTCTCAGTCCCAGTTTACAGAAAATTACACTTTTATAACGAACTACAAAATATCGGTTATCCGTAAATAGATCCCGCATTTTCAACTTTCATTTTTCATTGGCACGCGGAATGTACTGTTTATTGTTGTATTTACTTCAATACAGCTGTGAAATGAATATATATAGCAGTACATAGTAGTTTTCTATTTAGGATATTTTTAGCATGAGTTCTTGTCACCTAGACAAAAGGGTTATTCCTTTTATTCTATTATTTCTTTTCTTTAATAGTTTTGCCAGAGTAAAATAATTATGATCATTTATAATCTGTTTTCAAAATAATCACGCATTCTATTCCTGTCTGGTCCACGGAAAAAACTACAAAGTTGCTTGATTGAAATGAAAAGAAAACCATATCTTTCATATATAAAACTCACCCTTAAAATATAATAGAAGATATTCAATATGAAAGGAAGGAAAAATCGAAAATCTTGTTTATTCTTAAATGAAAAGCACAGAGTTTAGAAACAAAATATGATATTTTATGAGAAATTGAGAAAGGGAGTAAAACAAAAAGTGAAATAGCAAAGGATTTTCAAATTCCAAAAAGTACGCTCTCGGGTATTGCACCTAAAAAAGAAATAAACAACTAATTTTTCTTAAACAAATTACTCTCTTCAAAATGGAGAACGATGGTAAACAATCAGTTCATTATGTGTAAATCTGTTCACTATTAAAGCTCCTGATACAAGGAACTAATTCGCTATATGCTTACAAGAAACTCTTGATATAAGGAACAGATTTTGAATGTCCCAATGAGTTTGTTATACGTTGAGTTTACTGTATACTCATACTGAAAATAGAACACACTTGTATATTTATCATTTCCAGGTCTGCTTCAAAGATAACTTGTACCAGTGATGTTTGAGGAAACATTGTCACTTCCATAGTAAACTTTAAACCAATGAAACTATTTTTGGCTGACACTGTATCAAATATACCAATATACTCCATAAAACTTCATAATTTAACATTATTACAGTACTTAGATTCTTTTCTAGTACCACGTGACAATATATGGAACCATGATCATATCAAACATATTATGAAACAAAGTTTTGGCACGAGTGTTTCAAGTAATCAATTACATCACATATATAATAAACCAGTACATCAATTGACTTCATGAAATATGATTAGAACTTGACATATCTTCATATCAACTAACTTTAATGTGATTTTTGATTCCAGTTGCACCAGCTCACAGAAATTTCCCTACCATTGTTGTGACATGTGATTATGTTAAATAAATGATATTTTCTATTTACATTTTACATCTGCTACTGAGTTAGTGACCCAGTAGATTATACAAAGAAAAACATGTTTTACTGACAATTTTGTCAACTTCCTTTATTGAATTAACAAGTCAGTAATTGGCATTAAACCTATCAAGACAAGTTTTAACAGTTAACTAAACAAGAGCTGTCGGTAGGACAGCAACGCTCGACTATTCTTAGTGCTTGATAGTAAAAAAAATGCTTGATAGAGTTACCTCCTCCTGTTTACAGGTTGGGGTCATGATGGTGAACAAGTGTGCAAAGTTTCAAAGCCATATGTCAATGGACTTTGAAAATATTTGAACTATTACAAAAACTTTAACGTAAATTCTAAGTCGAAAAAGGGGCATAATTCTGTCAAAATGCTTGATAGAGTTACCTCCTCCTGTTTACAGGTTGGGGTCATGATGGTGAACAAGTGTGCGAAGTTTCAAAGCCATATGTCAATGAGACTTTGAAAATATTTGAACTATTACAAAAACTTTAACGTAAATTCTAAGTCGAAAAAGGGGCATAATTCTGTCAAAATGCTTGATAGAGTTACCTCCTCCTGTTTCCAGGTTGGGGTCATGATGGTGAACAAGTGTGGAAAGTTTCAAAGCCATATGTCAATGGACTTTGAAAATATTTGAACTATTACAAAAACTTTAACGTAAATTCTAAGTCGAAAAAGGGGCATAATTCTGTCAAAATGCTTGATAGAGTTACCTCCTCCTGTTTACAGGTTGGGGTCATGATGTTGAACAAGTGTGCAAAGTTTCAAAGCCATATGTCAATGGACTTTGAAAATATTTGAACTATTACAAAAACTTTAACATAAGTGGTTACGCCGACGCCGACGCTCGGGTGACTGCAATAGCTCTACTTATTCTTATCGAATAGTCGAGCTAAAAATCATTTCATTTTACCATTTTGAAGCAAGTGGTTTTAAATCTAATAAAAAAAGCATGAATCAAGTGTCACAGGAATGCAACTTAGAATTTAGTTTTCAGATTACTATAATGTTGCAAGCAAAACCAAAACTAATCTAGAAGACTAAATTAACACAGGGATATATTTCAGTTAAAATCAATGTTATTGAGTAGAGTCCTTGGATAATCACCTTCAATTATGATCCCAAACACATGCATTAAGTTTCATGTGAAAACCTTCAATAGTTGAGAACAAAAAAACTTTAAGAAATTTCTAAGTTTAAAAAGGGTCATAATTCTGTTATATCCATGTTGATTTTGTGGGCCTTAATAATGACCTGCTATTATAACCTTGAAGACCTATATTAAATTTCAAGGGTAAACGTTCAGTAGCTAAACATAGTGAGGAGATTTCGAGTCAGTTTGGAGTATCATCTTCCAGGCTTTTGACTGAGGGTATTTTATCCTACACTATTACTTAACATCTAACTATTGTTAAATTTCCTCAGGTCCTATTATATATATTTTGTAATGTTAAAGAAGACAATATATATCCCAGTCACATGATGGTCTACCATACACAATAAACAGAAATAAAAGATAATTAAATGTTTTAATATTTCAATACAACAATACAGCTATACATTCAAAAGAATAATTATTTTTTTCATTTATTTCTTCCTATACAATAATCTCAATAATTTATCATTATAAAATTTTCTCCACTTCTCATTGGTAGCACTAGGACCTTCTGGCCAATTTAAGGTAGAAATCACCTCTAGTCCTACACGTGCTGCTAAACATAAAGGTAAGGATTTCTTCTGGTTAGCTCCTGAACATTCTTCCATGTTTGATGGTTCACTTTTGACTGTAACTAGTGTCTGTTTGCTCTCTACTGTTCCTGCATGTTTGCTCTCTACTGTTCCTGCATGTTTGCTCGCTATTGTTCCTGCATGTTTGCTCTCTACTGTTCCTGCATGTTTGCTCTCTACTGTTCCTGCATGTTTGCTCTCTACTGTTCCTGCATGTTTGCTCTCTACTGTTCCTGCATGTTTGCGCTCTACTGTTTCTTCATGTTTGCGCTCTACTGTTTCTTCAATGTCCGATCCAGGAAGACCCACATCTGTAACATTTTCACAAGGGGTAACATTGTCTTCCTCCTGCTCATCATCAGACTTAACACTGTATGTATAAGTCCTCTCTTCAGTATATATGAATGTAGGTTCCATACCTAATATTTCCTGGAAAAAATAAAGCATATTAAAACACCTTGTCAAACAAATGTTGAAAGTTTACAGTAAATATATTTTATCAAGATTTTACACATTTATAACAGTCAATATTGAGTCCTAATCCTGCAGTGAACGGCGATAGTGTAACATACTGATGTTAAAGGAAAATGAGTCATGAGAAGTTTTGCTTAAACTTTAAAATTGAGATGCAGACATCATATACTATAATCAAGAAAGGAAGAACAGCAAGACCTTGTCAGACAAAAAAAAAATAATCTTACATACATTTTTAAAAATTTTCCTTGTTGGACAAAAATTCATGCATAAATTTCAATACAGGACAGCTAATCTGCAGTTTTCTTATGACTTTATATATTCATATTGTGTTCACCATAGTGTTAAGAGTTAAAAACGTAGCATATTTAATTTGTGTGAAGTCACAACATGCTGATTTTATATTTACAAAGAGACTGTGTAGCATTTTCAAATATTAAATTTGAACACAATGTATTTCTTAATGACACAAAAATTACTAAATAAGAAATATCAATTTTTACTTACCTCTCCTAATTTCTTCTTTTCTTTTACTTGCTATTATTATTTTTCTGTTATGTTGTTAATATGTGGAACTTTCAATCTTGATTTGATAAATCACACTCAATATTCTATTTGTAAATTTAGTTACATCAGCTGATTAGAAGACGGTCAATTAACTACTATATATGTCAGCGATATATTTATTTATGTATATTATATTATCATCTTAGTTATATAGCATTAAATGTTACAGACAACAAGAAATGTCTATCATGATATTAAACCCATGAAATTTCAACAAGGTGTGAAAAATATGACAAGTGTCTGTGTAGTTGTAAGAAGTGAGACAGGATGTCTTTTTCCATGTTAATTGTACAGTAAGATAAGATAGATAAGTATACATACAGTATGTACTAATTGACACCTGTTATCATGTTAATTGTACAGTATGTACTAATTGACACCTGTTATCATGTTAATTGTACAGTATGTACTAATTGACACCTGTTATCATGTTAATTGTACAGTATGTACTAATTGACACCTGTTATGTCATACTGACAGGTAGTACCCACCCCTAATCCCCTATAGAATTCAATATGTATATTTAGAGTCTTAAAATACAATGTAATGTACTTCAAATATTTAGCAATAAAAAAAAGAGTAAAATATCTGTGAAAATGATGGATACTTCTTAATTTATAACTCCCCAAAGTAACTTTTAGATGTGGTACTGGGGGATTATTTTGATTCAAAATTTCAACACTGTGATAACAGAAAAACATACAATTTGGGATTAAATTCCATATACACAGATACATTATAAATATCAATTAACAGATTTGTCTTTCCACCAAAAGGCTTCAAGGATTTTTTTCACTTACAACAGAGCTGTTTTGTTTGTCAAATCAATGGGTGTTTCATCATATCTAATTAAGGGTGTAAAGGTATATCAAATAAAATATTTTAAGAAAAGTTATAAAAGGTAAAAGAATGTTGTTACCATAATGTTATAGTCAATTCTCATGGGAGTTGTACAATAGATATTCTTTTAGTCCACAGAAGTTTTATTATAATTCAAATAATAAACAAGTGAAAAAAAAATGACCATAAACTACATATATGACATGACTCACCATCACTTCCTCCAGAGTCCTTTGAGCGCCATTTACCAATATCACAGTCTAATTGTTCAATGACTGAGCATAGCTCGTCAATTGAATCTGTTGTCCGTATCACAAACATAAACGTTTCATTTATCAATGACCCCTTTTTACACTGAAAAAAGACAATAAACACTTTTTATCATATGTTGGATACAAAATTTATGACATATAAATATATGTGTAAATGGCAAATAAGCAGAAATTTTATTATTTTTAATTAGAAAGAAATACATAATGCACAAAAAGTAGGTGAAATTAAAATGTTTCAAATAATTAAGGTTTACATTAAATATCGCCCTTAAAAATGTAGCAAAATGAAATAAACACTCATTTGTCTATTAGGCTTACACAAGCGAGTAATATTCAAATTGAGGAAGTGAACTTATTAAACATTTAATGATTTATGATTTAAGTCTTTAAACCATATCTAGGTAATGTGAATCTTTGAATAAACTAGTATGTTTGGTGCCGTTTAGAGTGGTCAGGCAAATGTTGGGGGGCAAAATATACAGACAGTAATTGATCATCCTGTCAAATCTATGAATGGAGCATTGTCCGAAGTTTTTGCAACACAGTCAAAATAAATGAGAATGTATTTGTCTTGTGGGGGGAGGGGTTGTTTTTACACACCTTTAAAAAACACAATCTTATCTAGAGAATAACTGTTATGATAAACTAAACATTAGAAATTTGTCTCTTTAAACAAATTTATTTCTTATACTCAGAAAACATTTTATCTTCAGTCAAAATATATGTATATGCATGTACTAACTTTAACCCCTTATCAGCTGAGTTCTGGTGTTAACCTACTCAACTAAATGATTCAGGAGTAACATACTACAAACATAGTCGGTCAGACCATACTAGTGGCAAAGGGAAATAGACAAAAGCCCATCCAGACATAGCCCACACCCCTATCCAGTGTTCCTCTGAAAATGACAGGACATTAAAGTAACAAGACAGACAAACGCCCACCAGTGAAAATGTTCTTCCTGTCACTTTTTATAAGAGGGTTTTTGTTTGCGCTGTTATTTTTGTCCTTCACAAAGGCAAATCCATTTGGATTTCAGCAAGTTATGGGCTAAGTAAGTCAATATAATATATTTATATCTACCATCCAGGCTATATAGGAATTAATGTAATCCGGTTCTGACAGGAGATCTATGGTTGGTATAAATATACCATTCACTAACACTTCCTGAAAATATAACAAATATATTAATATTATACATGAATGCATAAAAATGTTGTTTTTTATGCTTAATGCTGCTTAAAAATTTGGTGGCAGACTGTCCTTTGATAATATATTATTCTGTATGTCACTTACAGTCGATTTTTTTTAATATTAAATTTTTGAAACAGACTTTACTTTAAGATTGCATTTGTGAAAAAAATGTTATGCCACCACATTAATATAACAGAAGTAGATTTTTTTTTGTTTCTTTAAAACTGAACTTTGCCATAATGCAGTAGTGTCTAGTTAATTTGGGAGTCAAGTTCAGCATATCAGCATGTCAAATGAATGACAATGTGCAGATGTGCCTAATGTTAAGATACAAAGGCCATTGTGCAATCACTGATAAAACTAGAAATGTGTCGTCACATCATGGATGCCCCCGCATGCAGCCAAAATTTGTTATGATATATTATGTTATGTTATAATATTTAGTTCCAGATTTGTTTGCACAAATTATTTTTTTCATTTTCAGTTCAAAGCCCTTAAAACTATTCAATGTTAACATAAACCATTTTTAAACAAAGCTCAAGGTACTGAAACTATTCAGTGTTAACCTTTTGTAAATTGCATATTGCATATTTGTAGCCAAATAATGGCTACATACATTTCCACAAAAGTATGAGTGCTGAAACTGAAAATTCAAAATTTTCCCAACATTCAAGAAAGATAAGTTTGTCCAAAATCATTGAACCACGACCAAATTCAAACTTGTACTGCTTATTCCTAAGATGTATCTATATGTCAAATTTGAGTTGAATGTGTACAACCATTGGGGAGATACTGAACAGACACTTAAAATTAAAATGATAACTCTATCAGCTTATCAAACCATGACCAAATTCGAAATTGACTGATGCATTCTTATGACATATTCATATCTTTAATTTGAGTTGAATATGTACAACTGTTGGGGAGATAATGAATGGAAACTGAAAATTTCCTTCTTTTCTTTCAAAGTTAAAGGGGCATAACTCTGCCAAAAATCATCGAACCATGACCAAATTCGAACTTGATCTGTATTTTCTCATGACATATCCATATTTTAAATTTGAGTTGAATGTGTGCAACCGTTACTAAGATAATGAACGGAAACTGATGATGACAGAATGACGAAATGACGGAAGGACGGAACAGGGTAACACTTTATGCTCCAGCCATTATATGGCGGGGGCATAAAAATCAAAGAATTTTTACTTTACAAAAAATTACATATTTACTAGCTGTATTAAACTTTGAAACTCCTGTACATAAGAAACATTTAGATTTAAAATCATCATTATATACATGTACATGGTATGAATCATAATGTCCTTATAATGTGCTAAAATTGTTTCATCAAATATCCCTGCAAAGCTCACATCCCTCTTGCTAGAGTTCATGACCTCGAGTCATTTCATCAAAATCTCTGAAAAGCAAACATTTCTCTTGCTAAAGGTTATGACCTATAGACTAACTCCCAGCTATTGAATCTTATTATAGAAAAATTGCATAACATGTATAAAAGACATTCCAAAATAAGTTGCTTCCCTTCAGATAAGAAGCATAAAAAGGCACTAAAAGTGATAAATAATTTCTTACTCTCATTATATATCTAAATGGTTTGTTGTTATAGTCTTCTGTTGGTAGGAGAAGAAATAAAAGTACATCACTCAGGTCCTGTAAATATTCTGAAATATTTTTCAAATATCAGAGGTTAGAATTATTAAATATGAAACAAGATGCACTGTGTATTCTTTTATTATTTCAACTGACTTATTCTTCCATTTATTTAATATTCTTTGGTTGAGTTTTAAGCGAGAGAAAGTTTTCATATATAATTCTATAAATACTGCCTTAATTAAGTCTACTTTAAAATAAAACAAGATCTACCTGCAGACAGCATACTCTATTTTCTCAGTGATAAAGAGTCTACTTAAAGCCAAATAGCAAAGGAGAGAAAATTCAAAAGCTCTTGGCAGACTTATCTGTCATATTTTTGAACACTGCCACAGATAATCATGGCCAAATACTGACATTGTCCAGAGCATGACTATATTCTTGTTGTTTAATTTTCTTTACTGACTGTTTTATGAGTATTATACATTTATGGAGCACAGAGTGTGAATCTGAGACAGCAAAGCAGACCCTTAATCGAAAGTTACGTGCCCAACACAAAAAATCTAGAGTTCAATACCCTACACTTGGCAACACTCAACATCTACAATCATATATACACACATACAGATAGTATAAAGGTCTTACGTCTTTCATCTTCAGGAGACAGTGACACCAAGTCTCGACATATGTCAACTTCCATTTTAATCTCAAGGTCAAAAAAATTCTGCTCCAATAATGGTCCTCTTTCTTTTGTAAAAGAAGAAAATTGTATAATGTCATGAAATATCAAAACTAGCTTCAGAGAATATAGCATTATAATCCATTTTTTTTTTGTATAAGAATTCTTGAAACATAAACATTCAATATTTATATTAACCATAGATTACTATGATGATATTATTCTGATTTAAATACAGAAACAGTATAGAACCTGATCTAACTGAATGGTAACACTTTCTATTCTAACAGTTTAAGGGTTAAGATCATGCCAAAGCTTCGAACAGCAGCATACACTAGGTCATTTTGTATAGACATGGTACATTTTGACATCTTTATCTCAAGAATGACTGTAAGTCTTTTGGATTAGCATCTTCCAGTTATTTACCAGATGTTAACTTGCAGCCATGAACTTTATATCATCAATAATTAGACTGTTAAACATAATTGACACAATATCCCAGCCTGTCATATAACAATTACACCAGTAAGTTTAAGAAATTTCACCTGCCAAATGTTCATATCAAATAATATTCATAAATTCATGTTATAAAACAAGACTGGTTTACCATCTTTATTCGCCACTTTAGCTTTCTCCATGGCTCTAACATATAATCGTATATGAGAAGCTAAATCATCAACAATCCTGTGAGTAAAATATGGTGACCAGTCAACATCTTTAGATCTAAAATTAAAGGTGAACATAGAACATTTTAAATCATATTTTTAAACTAACTTACAGATATATTAGTTATAAAGATTTATATATGGGCCTATATATACAGTTGTTTGGAAATATAACCCAAGCCGCATTAGGGTGAGGGTGATATTGCAAACAACAGTTTATAATATTATATTCGGCCATATAACCTTTCAAAAATATTTATAATTAATTTATAATACAGCAAGCATCTACGTTAAGAGAAAAGGTGGATTTCTTGATACATGTGATAAATTGATATTTATATAAAACTATATAAGCGTTATGATTATCCAATGAAAAGCGATGTTACAAACATAATTAACATATGATTATCCAATGAAAAGTGATGTTACAAACATAATTAACATGCAGTATTATACAATACATTTGTTGACAAAATTGTCACCTAGATTTGACGAGATATAATAAGCATAATGATAGTTCCATGAATAAAAACATTTAAACCCAAAATTATTATCTACACAATATGATTTCATATATATGTGAATACTGGCAACAGAAATCTAGGATGACAGAACAGAAGATGATGAAACAAATTTTTATAGCTCAAGTATGTATTCACATGTATATCTAATTCACACAAATTAATGACAAGACATTTATTGTGAACACATACCGTTGTGAAAATGTGATGAACACTTTTTGAACACATTGTTGTATTTCCAGTAAGAATAGATCATCGTCACTAACATCTCTGTACCAATTCTTTATATAATCTCGAGATATATACTCCATCACCTTTTATAATGTTAGAAAATATCATGTCAATAAATTCTTAAAAAACATGTGTATCAAAGAAGCTTAAAGTAATAAAGAAAGAAAAATCTTCTCTTTTTTTCTTACTCCATTTTAAAATTTTATTTGATAATTACATAAATGTAGTTAAACAGCACAATTGGGAAAGTCTTGCAAAGTCAGCAATATTTTTTTATTAAAACTAACTTAAATCTTGCTCCCATTCTTGCATTGCTTTTATTCAACTATCCAGCACTGATAAAAGTGAAGCATGCTGTTGGCAGAGACAGTTTTTGTACCATCTTAAACTAACATAAATTATAATTTTAATTATACTACCATAAAACAGTATTTTTTTACCTTACTGTTCATAATTTATTTGACACATCTTTCACTGTTTATATTGATGGTATATTTTTCCATTAATGTACATTGTTTAGGTGGCTGCTGAACTGATATGTAAAATATACCAGTCACATAAACAGAAAATAGTTCCAGCACTAGTGCTATCACTAAGAAATCCAGTCTGATTTCAGCAATGATAAACTACAAATGTGTCGTCACACCACGGAAGCCCCCGCATGCAGCCCAAATTTCAGATGTTACAATATTTAGTTCCGAATTTGTTCACACAAACTGTGTTTTTTTTTTCATTTTAAGTTCAAAGCCCTTAAAACTATTCAATGTTAACACAAACCATTTGTATACAAAGTTCAAGGCACTGAAACTATTCAGTCTTAAGTTAAAGAGGCATTTCTCTGCCAAAAATTATCAAACCATGACCAAATTAGAACTTGACCTGCCCATTCCTTTGACGTATTCATAAGTCAAATTTGAGTTGAATGTGTAATACCGTTGGGGAGATATCGAACAGAAACTGAAAATTTCATCAAAGGGCATAACTCAAAAATCATCGGCCATGACCAAATTTGAACTTGACCTGTATTTCATTATGATATATGTAGGCAACCATTACTGAACATAAACTGATGATGCTGGAATGACGGAACAGGGTAACACTATATGCCACGGCCATTTTATGGCGGGGGCATAAAAAGCATGGCCTAGCATTTTACTGGTGACATGGACATGGTCAACATGCCATGAGCAGAGAAATGATAAAATGTAACTTACAGACTGTAACACTTCATCTATCACACTAGAACCTGTGATCCTTTTGTCCATCTTTTTAATCTTAAATGAACCCTCCATTTTTTGTTTCACCTGCAAAAAAAAGAACAAAACAACATGTTTCAACTTTGTTTGTTTGTTTGTTTCATTTTACGCCTTTTCCCAACAGTATTTCAGTCATATAGGCGGGTAGTTTCCTAACCAACGTTCCTGGAGCGTTACACATGTTTCAACTTAAAAGTTCTGTTTATGAATAACACTGAATGAACAGTAACCTAAATTTATTCACCAAGACATTTATTTAGCCATAGCAAGGCATTTGCTCATTCATATCTGCATTGTAACATTTATTTATTACTTATCACAAGTTAAATACAGTAATACCATTACATTTTGCCATTATTGTGTTCAATTTGATATTTTCCTATGCAAAACAATCAATAATTATTCAATTTTTAAACAGAGTGGGGGAGACTTTTTATAATTTAAGTAGTTTTATATATGTTTTCTTCAACATATTTCATTATCAAATAATGTGTCAATCACCATTATAATAGTCAATCCCTTGAAATGTATCAACAATTCAACTCAACTTGACAGCAAAAAACATGAGCATAATGTCACTTTATAAAGAGCTTTTCACAGTTATTTTATGCAAGAAAGGGGGCATCACTTTGTAAAATAATAGCTCAAGAGTCGTGGAACCTGTGCCCATCATGTTAGATAATCATAGAGAATGATTGTAAGAAGTTTGACATCAATCCTTTCAGTAGTTTTGGAAATACAAACTTCCACACAACAACATAATCAAATTGTGATGGCAATGTCAATGCCGACATTGGTGCCTGGGTGATGACAACAGCTCTACCTTTTCTTCGAATAGTCAAACTACAAATAAGATAAGGCATAATTATACTCTACCTTAAGAATTCCTGGGGAATATAGTAGCATATTCTTTAATTCTTTCAACTTTTCCATTGATTCTTCCATACCGTAATAGTAGGCTACTGCCAGAGCACTGAAAATACAACATGACGATGATGTAACACTTAAAATAATAGTAGGCACATTGAACAAACATTCACTCACTATAAATTCAATTACAAAATCTACTTGCAAGCAAATATACTTTTTACACAATTAAAACCACATAATTACCCTGTTTTAATCTCTCTTACCAATAACTTTTGGTTTATTACATCATCAGCCTAAACCTTTCAATTCTTGTTGAACAGTTAATTAGGCTGCCATTAGAGGTTTGAATGACCCGATGATATATACAAATTAACACAATATCCTATCATATAAAGAGCAATACTGATTACATCTCACCTATAAAATCAAATAATCACCTTGAATTAAATCAATTAACTGTACATGTACACTTACCCTATAATTGACAGAATGACATAAAAGATGAGGGATATGCCATACACGCCAAATGTTGCTAGATACAACAACACTGCTAGAATAAACCAACCTTGTCTCCCCATCATCTGAAATCATATAATCTAAACATCAGCAACTTGTTCATCAAATATCTCCACTGCATGATTCAATAAAAAAAAGTTGTCAAAAGGTATCTACTTGTATTGCTGAAAGAAACGTGTTAGATGTTAACAGAAAACCATAAGTACAGTATTGAATGTGGAAATAAATGTCAATGATAATGAAAAGATACTAAGTAAGTGCAAGTTTAATAATTATAGACAAGGAACATAATTTTTTTATCATTTCCTGAACTTGTTTCAGAACTAAACTGGTGTGAATGAAGTTTACATAACATTTAAAACTGCAATTTTTTCTGATATATACAGAAAATACCTTTATCTTTGTTTAAGAAATTTATAAATTTTATCTTGATATCATAGTTTTTGTTCATGCAATATGAGTAGAGATCAGCCAAATCTCTAAATATTTCTAAAAACATGGTCTTGATCAATAGAGTATAGATAAAGATATATGTATGCAATGAGGGCCGAGCAATGACATCTTCAAGATTAAGCCATGTTAAATATTTTGTTTGATACGAACATCTTAATATATAACATTGAATGTCAACTTGGGTAGAATCAAAGCACTGGAAGGGCAAAGGAGTTGCTACCCTTGTATAACTAATACTTTAGAGGTATATAATGAAAATTGTGTAAAAGTGTCATACAGGGAAGTCAAAGGCCGGGACTGCAGAGCGAGCCGGACTTTGGCTTGCCAATCTATAGACTACACATGTATATTTAAAAGAAAATCAAATAAAAAACAAAGAATATATAGAATTCTACACCTATCAATGAAATTTTCAGTGTCAGTTCTAGTCGCTGCCATTTTCAATGTATCTCAATGATAATAGTTGGGGTATTCTGATAACAATCACAACTTTTCGGATTATTATAATAATCGTCCAAGATTCTGAGTAAAAATGGGATCAGTGCATAAAACACTGAATGACACCTTTAAAATGGAAAAATGAACGATTTTTTTAACCGACTTCCCTGTTCATAATTTCTTAATATTAAGGGGAAGTCAAAGAACGGACCCGCTAGCTTTGGCTTGCCAGGCTATAGACTACATGTCAAAAGAAAATCAAATAAAAAAAACTAGAAATGTGTCCATAGGACACGGGTGCCCCCACCGCGCCACTGTTCTGTCAACTCTTTTACTAAGTCAAGGGAAATTACTTTACAAATACTGGATAAATCCACAAACAAAACCCCAGGTGCAAATCTAAAATATGCTGAGCAACCTGCCTATAAGGTTAAATGACTATGTCAAATCCTTTTTGAGAAACTTGCGACACAAGTTGAAAATTGCAAAAATTTTCTAAGTGAAGGGCAATAACTCTAAAAATACTAAATAAATCCAGAAGAAAATACCTGGTGCACAACTGCACATGCTAATCAATAATCCTGTAAAGTTACATGACTCTAGGTCAAATACTTTTTGAGTTACCTGCGACACATGTTGAAAATTGCAAAATTTTACTAAGTCATGGGCAATAACTCTGAAAATACTAAAAATATCCAGTCGAAAATACCCAGGTGCACAACTACACATGCTGATCAATATTCCTGTAAAGTTTCATGACTCTAGGTCAAATACTTTTTGAGTTACGTGCGACACAAAAGTGAACGGACGGACGGACAAGGGTAAATCTAAATGCCCGCCACTAACGTGGGGGCACAAAAAACAATTAAAATTATATAGCATTCTGTACTTATCAAGGAAATTTTCAGTGTCAATTCTAGTCAGGTGTTGTCATTTACGATGTAACTCAATGATAATGGGCAGGGTATTCTGATAACGTAACAAATCTCAACTTTTCGGATACATAATACGCGGAAAGTCCGAGCGGGGCCAAAGGCCCCGCGAGGGCTGTAGCGCTCTTAGATAACATGTATGACGCATATCAATTCAAATGAAATCAAATTAAAAGTAAATGAAAATTTCAAAAAAATATAATTATATCCTATACCTAATGAGCTGTGAAAAAATCCTAAGTTAACTGGGCGCCGCCATTTGAAAGCCTTTTGAGCTAAATTTTAATGAGCGTCTACATAATTTAGACTATTGCTAGCGTCTGCTAAATAACACTTCCGGTGAGAGAATGGTGTGCAAAATCAGAAAGTAAACATGCATTTCATTGATAAGAATTATAGTAACGATTATAAATATTTATTACATGCTTTTCGGTGGTTTATAGAAATATATCAGTGATATAAAACTGGTAATTTCACTGTTTGAATCAGTGAAATTACCACTTTGATAATTTCACTGTTTTGAATTTAAGCCCCTTACGTCGTTTCCGTGAAATACCAGCGTGCACAGTACTGGGTACCAACTTAATGACGTGATGTCGTAAATGACGTCACGTTGTATTATTATTTGGCGCACTTTTCATTCACTATTAGGTTTAATGTCTTTTTAAAACATTTCTTTGCATATAATAAAAAGAAAATTTGTTTAGTTTTGTGTAAGATCGAAATATATTTCACCTTGTGAACACCAAAAGTTCATATTTCACACGTGGCTTCGCCACTCGTGAAATATACCTTTTGGTGATCACTCGGTGAAATAAATTCCGATCTTACACTGAACTAAACAAATATCCTCTATAAAAATGTACTTTAACATGTCCTTTTTGATAAATTAGCACATTAAAATAACGTTAAAACAACTGTGATTAGAGATTAACAAAAGTGGCGGACGGGATTTTCCAAACGCCAACGCGTGCGCAGTGGTCTCCCTTTACGTTCGGAGATTTTCGGAATATTCCGCGCGCTCCGACAATAGGTTGAACACCACCAATTTATTTATTTTGTTTACAGTACAAAATACCTGCAAGATAGATCTGTTATGTTATGCTCAAATCATAGTTCATAACAGGGATAAAAACTAACCATTTAAGCTTGGTGGCCACCTGGACCACTGACTGTAAAATTTTAGTGGCCCAGTAAATATTTTAGTGGACCAACAATTTATGAACGGAAACAGGGCAAGCGCTGGCAATTTTTTTTTTGATCCAATTTTTTTGCAGCGAAAATTGTGTGCCTGTATTTTATTTTCAAATAAGGCAATATGGTACAGAGAAATTATTTAGAAAAACATTAACAGTTTTAAACTATATACATGTATATCCAATTTTATCTTGGTAACTACATTTTTATCACATTAACACAACAAACTTATATAATTTACAGTCAATAATTATAAAAGCTTGCAGCTCAGTAGCTATAACATTTGCCACGTTAAGTTGGGCAGCAAAGATTCCATAAAATCTAAATCAGTGGCATGACAGTGACAGCAGAAACACAATCCAATGTGCTGCTTCAGCTTGCTTGGTTAATGACAAAGATTTGTCTTGAAGACTATCTGTATCTGAAATAATAAAGAAGAAACATATTTGAAAGTAAGAAGAATGAAGAAAATAATATTGAAAATTCTAAACTAAAGATAATTCAGGAATAAAATCATGTGTACTACTCACTTCTGTCATTTTAAGTGTGCAGTAATCAGTATAAGTTACCTAAAGGAATTTTGTATGCTTCTTAACTGAATCTTTCTTTAATATTTCACAGTCATAAGTCATTTGAAAATGAATACTTCTTCAAGAGCTTTAGGGGTTACAAAACTTATATTTGATTTTAAGCCAAATTAAGGCCAATCTTTTTTCCAGGAATTCCCTTTGAAGCTTCAAATGTCAAATAAATTCCTTGTAAAGGCATTATTAGGTCTAGTCCAATATATTAGACGTTACAGGCTTGTTTATAGTTTTTGTCGGTCAAGCCTGCCCAGAAGTAAAAATATCTCAAAGCGATGTCATATTTATAGGACTATATTAGGTCAGAATTAAATGGCAATCAACCCCCCTCCCCCCAAAAAATAAAATAAAATTAATAACACAAATAAAAAACATTACTCTTAACTAATAATTCCTTTGATCTGTTTATCAACAACAATAAGAACTGAATGCAAACTTACCGTGAACAGGTCAAGTTGTCAACTGCAGAACATAATTTGTCGCTTTTTCATACCCAAAATTCTGATTTGATTAGCGATAATCTTTGGTAATCTTGAGATGCTGCTAGTTGTTGTTTCATATTAAATATTAAGACCCAATTATCCAGTGCATGCGACAATTAGTGTCATATTTATCAGCTGATGTTAACAAACGGTGAGGTCAGTGTATTAGACTGTGTTACTGTTCATATCGATATTTCATTGGGAAGGGAAGTTACAAATATAAACCAGTCAATGACCCACAAAAAAGTAGACTGTGTCGCTGTGTTTTGAGATAAGAAGCGGTAAAGCGGAAATTGTAAATGGAAAACCAAAAGTGTACTTTTCCATTCTTAAAATAGCAAATGCTAAATTTAGACTGGATATTCCAAAAGTCATACTTTTTATCGTGACTTTCTTGAGCCAATTTAATAATTTTGGAGCCAATTTGCTCATTGGTTTCATTGAATTTTCTAATGGCAGATATAAATTTAATCTACAGTCGTTCTTTTATAGTCATAATCTACAGCCGTTTTTTTTAAGTCGCCGACTGGACGACTATTTTGAAATTTTTGGTAGTCCAGTTACAAATTTAGTCGCCGTGGGCGACTGGGCGACCGCTAATTTTCAGCCCTGCATAAGAACTTTCCGCGCCATAGGTAGCACCTAATTTCATATTAATCATCTAGTGTTCTGAGTGAAAACAGAAGCGGTGCATGAAATACCGAATGACACCCTTTAAAACAGAAAAAGGAAAGGATTTTTAACAACTTCCCTGTTCATAGGATTTGCCTAATTACTTATGTAACCGGGGATAAATGATAGAAGACTTGCTTCTATTTCATCATTTTATTGTCGGACATACAAAAACGAGCCTACAAACAAAATACAAAGGAATTACAAATAATTGATTTACAAAATAATAAAATTACACATTTCATCCAATTCATCAATGGAAAAGAATAAATATGACATTAAAAATATATAAATTCTTACCAGGATCAGCATACAAGAACTTTCCATAAATGATGTTCAAGTTAACTAATAAGTAACTATTACTATCAACAACTATACTGTAAACTAAAAGTATGTTATCAGTTACTCGTATAATGTGGAACTGGCGAAGGGAAATATTTTACTTAAGCAAGAAAATGTTTCGCAGGGATTTTAGGGTCATGCACGTGAAATATTAGTGAACACATTCATACAACCTTTCAACTTACAGTGACCTCTCATATGAAACAGACTATACAAAAGTTTTTAAACAATACCACAGTTAGGCAAACAAACGACAACACAACAGTTAGGCGAATACCAACCAAATACAACATAACACGCCGGATGCAATATACCAGTGATAAACAGAAAACGATACACAGGTTACACTTATTATTGTTGTTATGACATGAATACTAAATGTGGAATTGACGGGGTGGGGGTGTAACTGGGACTGGGGGGAGGGGTTGTAGCAGTAAGGAATTACATCAGATCAAAGTGTCTTATCCCTGTGCAAAAAATTGGTTGTAAAAATCATTTATTCATATTTTCAAATAAAGATATTCTCAAACAAGGATTTAAGGTCACGGCATAATGTTAGAAATGATACAATTTACTTATTCATGATATGAACAATGAAGGAAGGTGTATTACGGTGACGTTTGTTACTTTATATCCAGTGTCAATTGAAAAAAATTTGTTAAAAACTTTTATCAAAATTCACTAAGCATAGGTCTGTTCAAACTTTCAAAACCGCCTGTTGTAAATTTTACCTCCTCTGTTGTTGGTTCGGGCTTATCATTTCAAATTGACAACTTCATTATAGCACGAAAATGGGAAAAAAATCAGGTTGGTTTTATTAATTTTCACAACACAGCCATATTGGAAGGTTGCAATTTATTCTCCAATTAAAACATGTTTAACATTTGTAACGATTGTTTTCATTGGATAAGGTATTCTAACTGTGCAACATTTTTTTCAATAAGTCGTGTAAAATATATCAAAAATTTAGATTGAACAACACTAAATAATTTCCCATATCTCTGTACTAATAAGGGGAGATCACTGCATTCCCAGAAAGCCGTGGCGAACCTTATCGGAAGTTTGACGTTAAGGGCCGAGAAATGCCTTGTTATAAGATGGCCATTGTAGTGTTGTTAGTATTTAGAGATTAGCTCCACCTACATGATTAAATATGCACACTATGATAACTCTCTCTCTCTAGATTATATATGCAATATAGCAAGACCTCTGTTAATATTTTTGTAAATAAATATTAGAACTTTGATATTGAGTTTTCAAAACAGTACATTAGAAGACGGGAATTGGGAGTGAAAATTGTTTTTAGGTTTCTCGAAGAAATAGATATGTAACAATGTAAATTATACTTAAATAAAATGTAAGGAAGGTGATTTTTCTCCTGCATCTTTCCGATAGTACACGATGGATTTTAGCAAGAAAGTGGCATACCAACCTAACATCAGAGTGCGTGACTGTTGCACTTTTTCATATTCCTTCATGCCTGGAACCTAAAATTCTAGCTCATGTACAGACTCAGTCAAACCGAGTCTGCAATGTTCATGTAATTTTGTTGTTTAGTGCTATTGATAGAGATTACCTTTTTTTTCCTGATTTTCAATAGAACATATTTTAGTTTAAAAAATGAAAAACTGTTCAACAGAGGCCTAGACATGTCACCAAATTTAATTAGTGTATGTAGACCTATTTAGTAGATCATTCAGTTCCAACAAAATGTATCACATTTATGTGATTATTATAATATTCCTGTCACACGAAGTACGTTCTAAATTCAACTAGTGGCCTAATGAGGTTAAACTGTTGGGGGGTGTCGTTTCTAGCTTCTTCATTCCTTTCACAATCAAGAGTAACTCGGTTTTATTATGTTCTAAGTACGTCGTTATTCGGTCTACGTTTAATACAATAAGTATAGGTTATATCGGTTATATACAGAGTTTTAAGAAAGTGAACGCATTGAAGCGAGAAAATTAGTTCTTAAAACTCTGTATATAACTATATCCGACTTACAATCCGACTTACAGTTAGCCCCGCCTATTCAAATTGAGTGCATAATGTAATTGGCGGAGTCCATTAAATCTACTCATTTAACATATAAATTTAATACATACAGTTGAGTTACAACACTGTATGGTAAATATTTTGGCATTTAAACAAAATAGAGCGATTTCATTGGCAGACAAACTTTGGCGAACTATGCAAGAATGTATGTTGTAGTGCTAACTCCCTTGTGACCACTCTGTCACATTACTACACATAACATTAAGTAGCGCATAACATTTGACCCTTTTAATGCCAGAAGTTTTATCATAAAAGCAAGGAAATTAATGTATACTTTTACAGAGAAAGTTGAATAAAGATAAGATAAAAAAACAAATATTGTGTTACAACCTAAAATGAACATACATGTAGGTATTTGTAAAGCAGTTATATAATGGCTATGTTGCTATGGAAAGTGTATGCAAAATAAACAACTGTTAAATAAAATTGATATAGGAACATCGACTATTTTTTCTGAATTGATTTTAAATTTTATTCTTAATATAATATTTATTCAAATATGATATGGCTGCATGTGTAATATTGAATATGTTAATTCTGAATCTAATTTTTGCTGCAGGTGATTATAATAATACATGTATTTTTATCACGTTGACAATATTAATGTCAGAAACACTGCCATTTATTGTGAAAGATTTGTGATGAGCAGGTGTACAATTACTGATAAATCAATCAGTTTTTGTATGGATTTTATTTTTAAGTTCTTGATTGAAACATGTTTCTGTGGATTCATTGTTAATATATACTAAAAGATGACAGGTAATGTTTTTTTAAATCCTTCTGGCCAAATTCCCTGCCATTTCTCCATAAAAGAACGTTAAAATCCCAAAGTTTTAAACAAAACACCTTTTCCATCATCATAGCCATAATACAGCTACTTTAAGCACGTGTTTAATGTTTAAAATACGAGAAGCGTTACAAAATAATGAGCACGCATGCGCATTATGTAAATAAATCGGCTGAATGATTTAACGTATAAATTTAATACATACAGTTGAGTTATAGCACTGTATGGAAAATACTTCGGCAACATTTAAACAAAATAGAGCGATTTCATTGGCAGACAAACTTTGGCGAACTGTAAAGCAACATTAAAATTTCAGTACAAGTTTGCAACACATTTTTATCAAGTGCTTAACGTTCAAAAACAGGTTTCGAGAACGTTTTTGCGTTTATTAGCCGTAACGTTATTACATTTGCAATACAATCAACCAAGTAAGAAAAAAATACAGGTCGTTTTCCCACTGGCTAACAATTGCGCAGAACCATTTAAAATCTAGCGGCTTTGAACATGTTGAATATTAAATTTAACATTTTGAAGCAGATCGAGTGCGGATGCAATGTGATGGTAGAGGATCAAAACAGACGGAGAAGACGAAGAATGTGTTTGAGAAGGACCAGCTTGTCTTACCTCTTCCTTTTACAAAAATCGTAAATTGTGTGAACGGTCGAACTAGAATGAGGACTGGCAGAAAAATACCGGCAAGCCATTGCATGATTATAATGACGATCTGAACGCTCTAGATGCCTGATGAGGTCAAAGTGTTTAAACTGTCTGTGAACATGGTTGTCATGTTACGAAATAGTTCGTGCGGTACTCTATGTGTAAGGATCGGCGTCGACCAAGTAACACAACGGAATTAAAGTGACAGCAGACAGCCTTATGGACTTCAGGCGGGATAAAGACGGGATAGACGTATCACTAACGGTTAAGAACTAATTTCGAGCGCGGTGTAGCTATTTTCAAGCGGACAGTCGGGCATACCTCCTGATCGGGAAACAAGGGAATTCCCTTCAAGGCTTCCCGATCAGGCAGCAAACGTCAAAATCCTTCCCGATCGGAAAGTTTTTTGGCCTTTTTTACGTAGTTCAGGAAAATGGCCGGTCTGTAATAGTTTTCAATCCACTTCAATATGAATATCATACTTAAGTGCAGAAAAGATACATCTAAAATCCTACCGAGTCATTTTCTTTTAAAATGTCTAAAATGAAAATGATCTGAAAGTGAGTTTAAGTGAAGTTTTACGATTTTACTGAGAAGTAGCTGCTTCTCGTTTTAGAAACAATGTTTCCTGACCAGGTATCTAGCAAAATATTCACCATTAAATGTTTCCCGTTTGAGAAGTTTTTTCTTTATGTTAGCGCGTTCTATTATGTTGATTGAGATTTCTTGGGACAAAACCAACAAATAAAGTTATCTGTGCAACAAATCAACAGAGTCATGGTGTGAATGTTTTGAATTCTGGTGTTTCTTGCATTTCAGATGCAAATGATAGCATCATAGGTGGTGTCTTCTCAAATTTTGTAAAAAACGAATATTCAAATATATTCGGACATGGAAAACAAATAATCGAAAATCAATTTCCTTATTCGTTCCCGGCCCTAGTTAACTTATTTTTATTATGTCCCACTTCGAAGAAGAGCGGGTATATTGATTTGCTAATGTCAGTCCATCGGTAGACCGCAGTTATTTATCTTAAAAACCATTTATCACAGAGTCTTCCTATTTCACATACTAATTGGTCATAACTATAGGAGATGACACCTATTGGTTTTAGGGTCACTATTTCAAAGGTCAAGGTCACAGGGATCTTAAATGTCAAATTGGTTTCCGCTCATTCTCTTGAAAACTATTTCTCACAAAAAAAATCCGAAATAATATCATTTTCAACAGTACAATGTATATTTCGGGACGGTAGATTTTCTTAACATTTTGTCTTCTTCATCAATACTGAACTTAATGAAAGTGTATATATTAATAAATTATGTTGCTTCTTTTCTTTCCAAGTAATAATAATTCAAGTACAATGTAATAATAATTTAGATGTCTATTACTTTACAATCACGTATGTATATAGTATATGCTTAATGTGGGTCACTGTATGGCGGTTAATGAGTACCTACATGTACAGTAACCTGAGAAATAATAAAAGGGTAGCCCTTAACTTAGAAGGCCTGTTGGTGCCAGCAAAAGGTCTGTCATTCAAGCCGTTTATCAGTGCTAGGGGTTCATCTATTGTTTGTTTGTATTTGAGTTTATTTATACTCGTCACCGGTTGCCCATATGTTAGTCATTTTAGATTTTGGAGGATAGTGCAATATACAGAAAGATGCCCCAGTTGCATAGGCTTCTTCTGGTTCTTTAGCGTGCCAAGTTTTTAAGCACTAACACACGGGTCCTCGATTTAAAGTCTCATCCGAAAGACTGATTAGTAATTTTTGTTGGAATCGAACCCACAATGTCAAGTTTACAAGTCTCGGGCTCTTACCGATTGAGCTATGCAGGGTGGTCACGCACCCTAGCATACCATTCGGAAAACCACAGTGAAACCATTCGCATTATATATCACACAGGACCAATAGCGTTGTTTCGATGTTCAATGTTTATTATTCACACATTATGTAGCCAATCACGAACACGTTTTTAATAGGGAATTGTAATACGCTGTTATGTTCAGTAATATAGATCTTGGATTGGCTAACTTTCTCCAATCAGGAAATTTTTCATAGAAATTTCGATATATTTAGTGTCTCAATTTCTTCTCCAAATACAGGCTGTTTTGCTTGTAAGACTTTTTTTAATTATAAGCTTCTATGTAACATAAGATCAAGACTATATGATATGCGTGCGCATGTCAGCACAACCTCCTTTAGTACGATCGAATTATACAACATTTAATAATGTAAATTCCTCTTTAATCGCACCATTTTCTCAAATGTTCGTATTGACTAAACAGAAGTGAACAGAAAGAGAGAAAAAACTTGAGCATTTAAACATAAATGCCGTTTGCATGTGATGGAAGGGTTAAATCGTCGTGCTTGAAATCTAAACTATTCACCAAAAATGCATTATTACTCTACAAAACACCGGTAATGACATTACAAATTGATAATGAAGAAAACCGGTTTATTTAGTATCTTCTCTTGTTAAGTGTTTTGTGTTTTGACCACGGTTTCATAAATTTTAAATTGAAATAATAAATATGAAATATTGTTCACAAGTTAATTAAAACATTAATATTATATCTGTGACTATTCTGATTATTTCATTCTTTATCATGCATTCTACTTGGTTTTCTCTTTCTGATCTTGTTTAGTTTCTTTATTTTTATTTATTTCTTCTGTCATATAATTATTATATCTCGGAACAGATTATCAAGCAAATGACAATAACAATTATTGTATTGTATTGTATTGTATTGTATTGACAATAACAATACATTGTACATGTACTTCATCAAGCACTACCGCAATCCGTAACAGTTTAGATACATTTGTTGTTCGGCACATACATATAGTTAGAATTTGTGAAAAGTTTAGAATTTTTAGAAATTTTAAATGTTTTGTCAGATATCAGAGAATACGAGGGTTGTCCAAAAATTCATGCACTGCAGTTATTGTCGTGAGAGTTATTGATAGAAAAACATGAATTATATATCACCTGAAGGGGAAATCTGTCTCAGATAAGAAAACAAAAGAAAAAGCCGAGTAACTGGAATGTCATGAAAACAAATCTCCATACAGTTACCTTGGTAACGTAATTGCGGCGCACGACAAAAACTAGGGTTAGTTCATGACTTTGATGCATCATAGTTTTCTTTAAACACTTCTTGACATCAATAGAAAAAATGACGTCATTTGCCTGATTATAACCGCCGTAACAAACATTTCTGTGTGGTCGTTAATATTGTAATAACGTGAAAATTTTAGCCGCTAAACGTCTGGAAATACGGACGATCATTAAATTTTGGGCAAGTATTGGAAATACACCGACAGATACCTACAAAGAATTTAAAAGGGCAAGGGTGACAAGTTCATTGTAACGAAGGCTGGTTTTTGAATGAAACAAATGCTCTGTAGAGGGGCGAGAGGAGGTAGATGATGACAACCAGTAATTCCGGCGCATGTGACGAGGGTTGTCCAATATACTCATGCACTGATGAAATATGTTACATGTACGTTACATAAGATAAAAAACAACAATTAAAATGATTTGCATTAATCATTCCTCTATTGACAGTTAAACAAATTATGACATGAAAAGCAAATGCCACTTTACAAGCGACAAAATAATTAATATAACCATAGTAATGAACTAACCCTTTTTTGTCGTGCGCCGGTATTACGTTACTAAGGTAACTTAATGACCATTCTTTTACACGACACGCCGGTTACACGGCTTTTTCTAATGTTTTCTTATTTGAGATAGATTTTCCCTTCAAATGATATATAATTCATGTTTTTTCATTAAAAACTCTCACGGCAATAATTGCAGTGCACGAATTTTTTGGACAACCCTCGTATGTCCGTGGGGATTTAGAAAAATGGGGATACAGATTTTTGGAATAGTTGTTGGTGGGGAAGGAAAATAAACAGTAAGACAAAATAAAAACTTTAATAACTTTAATAACATTTACTATTCATTTGCAGTTTGTAATAAGGGTGCCATTGAATTGATATTGTTTTATCAAGGTTTTCCTAGTATATTATTTCATATATTAAAATGAAATTTTATACCATAAAGTATAGTACTTTTATTCTGTTTATCTTGAAGACGATCCTTTAGTAAATTAAATACCGAAATGTCTCTTTATGCAATATTCGTTCAATTTCTTCCTCATTGAAAATTTGGCTATACCTGGAATGTAAATCATCCTGGCACTACTAATATACATTCCAATATGATCATCATCCGGCAACGTAGTTTGCAGCATTAATACAGAGCACGATACATTCTTGGTAGTAACAATGTTTTAGCCCCTTGTGTAATAACATAACATATAACATAACATAACCCTTCAACAAGTGTCATTACGTATTACATATATAATAAATATAGATAAACAAAAATAAATCTATTATTCCTGCCCAGCATGAGACACATTTAACACGGGTTTCCGACGGACGCCGAGGTTCTCCCATTTCACCCATGACAATCTTGCAGTCAGATCTGAAATAAATACGAATATTTCATATATTCAGCATAAAACATGTTATTAGAATTTTTATAAAACCATATCTTCCCATTGTAAAGCTAAGTTTAGTGGGGAAATGTGGCAAAATATTTGCACATTTGAAATAAAAATTTGAAAATTGTATTGGTTTACACACTGGTTTACTATTTGTTGAATTTGAAAATCATCAGAAATGTGTTTACATGTACAGATTGGAACGGTGGAAAGTTGTTGCAAAACTTCATTTTTTAATGCTTTTTGTCCATTTACGTGACGATGAATATCTATGTCGACCACCTTGTCTACTATATGAAGAATCATCAATGTTCTATACTGCCTGTACCGAACTTAATGTCTACATGGTCTAATGGAGTCGGCTGGAATAATGTTTGATAAAATATTCCAGGAATCGAAAGCAAAACGCATTTACAAAAATTGAACTTTTACTTTTCATCCCTCTGCTATTTACACGCAAAACAAAATTCTGATATGTCGCATATATTGAAAACTAGTATGCTAATATTTTACAAATATACACCTGTTTTCGTGTAAGCAAGTGTACATTTTTATTCTGCAACTCATTTTCTCATTAAACGCAATTTTATTTTAAGAGAAATAAATATCCCCAAAAATGACAAAGGCATATGCGGCTTATGACAGTACAAAACTGTACTTGTATTTATCCAACACAATATTTAACTTAGCATTTCGCTAGCTTCAATAACAAATTTTGATGCTATTGAAACTAGTCTTAATTGTTGCCAATGTGGGCAATTTGGGAAAATAGCGCCTAAATAATAGTTTCCGATATAAATGTTAAATACTATTTTTTTTAAATAAATAAATAAATAAATTAAATAAATAAATAAATAATGATATGAAACGCCTATGTAACTTCAACAATTTCTTTCTAAATGTTCGTTTGTACTTAAATTCATATGTTTATATAATACATGCCTATAGAACATATAATGTATTTATTACATATAATATACTTAAAAATATTTTATTTTTATATTTCCTCTGAATAAAAGTTTTTGTTGCAGTGTATTTTCAGTATTTTCATATGTGCCCTGTCGGACTACTTTCTTTTAAGGGGAATTATTTTCAATCGTAAGGCCATATAAGAGGAAGAAGTATATAAGAAACAGAAAATCTAAGTTTTTTCCTATAAATACAGGATTTATTTTATCTCTTTTTTTCATTACCCCACTGCCCGAAATTTACGGGTTCGTGGTAAAAAATTTAATAATAAAAAAAATTTTAAAAAATTTAATTTTTAATTTAAATAAAAAAAAAAAATAACAAAATTTAATTTAAATATATGTGGGAAAAAAAAGGTTTTACGATTATTTTTGTATGTTCGAATTTAATCTTATAAATAAAACAATGATTTAAAGTAGATATATGTCAATATGAGTTGTACATTTACATTAACCTTTCTAAATGAGAATTTTACACAAAAGGAAAATAAAAAACAAAACAAACACGATCTCAAAGTCATGTTCCTGTCGAAGATTAATGCCAGATTTTTAATATTAATTGTTTTAAAGAAAATGTTTCGTATGTATGGATAGATGTAAAAATTGTGTAAGCTTTACTTACTTTACTTAGAAAAAAACTGCATAAAAAGCGTAGAGATTGTGCCTATTGTGAGGTTCAAATTCCAAAGAGGATATATGTTGACTGTGTTAAATATTTAAATTATATTAAAGGTGCATTATTCCTCAGAAATTTGTATTTTTTAATTCATTAGAAATATCAAACATTTGTTCAACAATGCTTTAATAAATGATTTAGAGCATTTAAGATGGTAAACAACTTAAAGAAGTAGGACTAAATCGCAAAGGTAGCAAATTGTTAACAAAATAGTACATGTATTTTGACTTCCATACAAATTACTTATTCACTATAATTATACCGAGTGTCAAGACATCAAAAGTGGAAAAAAGGTTCATGCATATGGCAAACCAAGATTTTTCGGAACTGAAATAAGATATCAAAAATGAAAAAATGTTTTTAAGAAATAAAATAATAGCATTTCTGAAGCATAACTGACCTTTAAGAAACATATTCCCGCGAGCCTGTAAGAAAAATTTCACAAACAAACATGAGATTTTTTTTAAAGAATCTTACCGCTCGTGTTCCACGTCGTTTTTACGTCGGCTTTCACGCAGTGTTCCACGTATTCTACCGGGTCAATTTTAGACGCAAGCATGTCACGAAGCAGGGCAATGTATGATATAGCCAAACGTAAAGTGTCTATTTTTGACAGTCTTTTCTCGTACGGGAAAGTTGGAACATGAAGCCTGAGCTCTTCAAACCCGGAATTTATGCTCATCATGCGTTTTCTTTCTCGTACATTTGCCGCACACCTCACGGGCCGCATTCCACCGTAATACTCATGGTGTTGGAAAAACTCTTTCCCCTCCTCCTCGGTCGGGCTGCGCTCCGCCGGCAACGCGTAGGCACACGACGGATATTCGCTCGGCGGAGAACTGTTGTTATGGCGATACAAGTTTTCTTCTTGTGTCATTTGACCTAGCGTTATGTACGTTGCACGTTCAGCGTCTTCAAGTTCATTTTCAAAACTTCTGCAATAGTTTAAAAAGTCGGTAGACACGTTTTGTGCCATTTTAAAATTTTAAATGTAGATGACTTCCAAATTCCAAAGGCTGTCCTTTTCAACAATCATTCATTATTAAGAAATTTCAGGAATAACTTGATTTATTTCTTTTTATACACGAAATGCTACATATTTAAATATTCGTTTAAATATATTTTGACCGTGCGCGAAAGCAACTCATTAACTGCCGTCCAAAGAATAAAAATTCTTTTTCAGAACTGCATTTTATATACTTACCCTAGAGTAAAGTTTTAGATGGACCTGCCAGAATCATATGGTAACCAATTACAGTTTAGATCCCGTTATAACATCTTCTTACGCGCGACTTCAGACACAAGTGTCGTCTGCGAATGACTTGCCAATCGAAGTCTATTTCAACAACGCGGCAGGGATGCTGAGAGTTCTCCACGTATTCAAAATACAATCAATTAATACGATAAATTGCCCGTTAAACCCACTTGGAGAATACTGCTACCCGCTGTCGACAATATTTTGCCCAAAATGGTATCATTATTGAATTTCACACCCGAAACAAACAAGTGTATTCGAAGGTATTTAGTACAAGGGATTTGCTGCTCTAGTTGACATGTCGCGTGGCTGGCGCGTGCAATATCGGAATTCTCTGACAGATACCTTCGGCCAGCTTTGTGGCGTAGTTAGCCTTCAGACCTTAACATTTCTGAATTCTGAGTTTAAAGAAATTTCTGATATGCTAAAATACTTCAAATATTTAAAGATTTCCTCCAAGACTTCCTTGAAGACAAGTTTAATGATGCACGACGTTCTTTCAGTTTCAAGTTTACAAAGCCTGTGTAATTTGTATTAAGAAACGATTTAAGGTTTATTTCAAGAGTCTTTTTCAATTTGCCTTTTGGGAAAAAATGCTTTCAAATTAATCTGGGATGAATTCCATGTTTCAGTTTGTATAATGACATAGTTTGTCGTACTTTTTGTTGGAATTGCAACATTTTCTATGTCTGTTCATTAGCTGCATGATGTTAGGCATTTCCTGAAGGAAGGTTTATTTAAATGATCAATTAAATTTGTGAATTCAAATGAGAACAATGCTCTGGGAATGAGATTTGGAATGTGACAATAACCTGATTAAAATATCTCCAGACCGGGTCGCGCATTACTAAAATCTATGAGTATGACTAGACTGGACTGGTATGGTATATCAGTATCATTAATTACGGAATATATTTTTTTTACCTTTCGTATAAATTCCTTCAAGATCTTAAATAAAAGTTGTCCTCTGTGATTACGTGTATTATTAGAATGTGTTCTCATGTCAATGTATGTTACATACTGAGATATATTTACAATACATTCTAAGCGCTAAGAATTTATTAAATGCTACTGTTTGAAAGCTTGATCATGTACAGAACCTGTTTTGTAGATAGTTAGTCAAAATGTGTATGTATAGATTAAATATCAACATACATTGGAGGATTTTTGAAATGATTTTCTTTTATCCAACGAAGATCACTTGATTTCCGAGATAATCAACACTGTATCTTAAGCATTAATAATAACAAAGAAAAACTTAAAGCAAGTTTGACAGTGGCTTATGTATTATCGTTTCACGTGAGAATTTTAGCAGGGTTCCGAGCAAGAAAAGGTCTTCCCAGGATTTTTTAAAGAATTGTTTTATAAATGCTTTAAAAATTATCAATATTCTTATTATCTATTCGAACCAGTGTGTTTAGTTAATTTGTAAAATTTCTCCGTTCCTTCTTTCGAGAAATAAAAAGTCCATTTATAAACAAAGTCATAAAAATAATAAAGAAATCTCAAGGGCTTCATCATTTGAAAACACAGACACAACCTGAAACTTTGACAAAATTTAAAATGATGCATGTCCCGATTGAAATGTGTTGAAATAAATCGACATTTAGATTTCAACTTTCACTTGTCATTCCTAGCATTTATCGGTTTCGGTTGTATTAAGCTTTCAGTGACACTGTCTACATGAGCTACTCTCATGCAAGACAAGTTCCGTTCTAGCTGCACTACACTTAATTAAGACCTCATATCAATGATTCATAATGATAGAATTCACTAAAAATTCAGAAGATAGTTATCATCTTACTTTAGGAATATATTGCTGGTAAAATTAAGAAAAGGACGTGGACACTTCAAATTGAAATATTTTAGCCCTTTAGGTAATGTTGTAAACTACGGCTAGCATTAGTCGGGAGATTATTAGAATGGGATTCCTCACTAATCATACATAATTTTTGTGTCAAGTTTACCAAAATTATCGTTCTCCTCAGAAAACATAAGAAGAGCTTTGATAAAAAGGCAGTAATGATAATAATGATGATGATGTTAATAACAAAAGAAAGAAACGAGATAAAATAATGTACATTTATTTGATAACGACAATGATGCTTTACATTATTATAACAATATCTATATATATATATACACTGTACATGATATGAAACATATAAATATCACTATTATAAATCTAAGGCCAAAGATAAAATTGTTTATTCCTGCTTTCAATTAAAAACAAGTTCTAACAATTATATGGACTTTAATTTAAGTCCGTGATTAAACCCATCAAATATACTATGCTATTTGAAAAGACGTCATATAAGATCATGGAGGCACAAAAACACAACAAATTTACAACTGTAAAATCATGACTTCCTTTTACAAGTGAGCAAATATGGAAGTCGACTGGTACGTCTTATTATAAACCTTAACCACCCGAGTTCCTTAAATGGACTTGTCCAACTTCCTTGTTTGGAGTTGCCCAATATCAATTTTAAGGGTATATCAAGAAGAAAATTACATTTACTATAACGCTTACAAAATTTAAGATTTGCCATACAACCAAAAACATCTTATTTTCTTTTGGTCTGAAATTTTTTTCACACCAGAAAATCATTTAATCGAACAATCAAATTAACAAATTAAAATAAAATGCATTTTCGTGACTATTACGTTTTCCATGATAATTCGAAAGAAGGCAAATCAAGAACCATTACGAGCAGATCTATATAATCTAAAGTAAAACAATTTTGTTACAAGAATGTAACATAAACAAGTGTGTGTTCTCTACAGTCATTTTAACATTTGTGTCTAGTCATTAATAAATAGAAATGATTTATGTATACAAGAACATCTTGGCAACAATAAACAAGTTTATCCCAAAAATGATATACATTAACATGGATTGCCCCACAGTTACCCCTAAAAAATACATGTTTTTAGGGAAAAAATACACTTTAACATTGATAAATTCATTACACAAGTTATTATATTAAATTAGAGAATAAAAGTGATCAAATGAACAAATTTTAAACCATTTGCTTCTGAATTTGTGTAATAGACAGACATAACTTTAGAGTTTGGAAAGATCTGTTTGTAGATCTCGGGATTTCTATATGTATATGGAAATATCATCAACAAATAGCCACCAACTGTACATTTATATATGATCTTGTCTGGCCTCATTGATACATTGTACTGTATATTATTTTCTTTTGATTAATTTAAGTACTTGGTTTCAAATAATATGGAACTTATTTCAAATAATAAAGGGTTTCAAGATTTTTTCAAACTTTTTTTCTAACATAGTTCAGATTTTCATTGGACATTTGACATTCTGTGACCGTCTCTGACCAATCAAGTACTTGACAATACATGCAAGTACATGACAATACATTTTACACATATTTTCAGAAGGGTTTACTTGATCAGGTTTAAATCTTACATTTAAATCAGGTACAAAAATTCAGTGTCTGAATCTAGCTCAGATTTTATGGAATTAAGATCTTTTTTTCTCTCTCTATTTTTTTTTGCAAAAACTTGCTGCATGATCAGATCTTTTATGTAATACATTAAGATCTGTTATATTATAAAGTATTGGATAAAAAAAACAGACTCTTATCTATCTAGGCATTTAACTGGACATAAATGAAAACAGGTATTACTCAAAATAGCAAATTGCTTGATCAGCATTTTTCATACAAGCAAGCAAAATGTTGACTCACATCAATTTTATTGCCCTTTTTCTTTTCTAAACTCTTCTTGTTAGATCTGAAATGTCTTTCTTTTTTAAATTTGTGAAGAAAATAAGATAGCGTACTCGTTTATATACTATGGCATGATGTTAATGCCGCATCAAATGAAAAACAAAAATGTTAAAAAGTGGCTTATAAATTTTTGGAAGCCAGAACTATGGTGCCTCAAAACGTAGATATACCCTCATTACACCTGAAAGTTCTTGTCAAGTGTAAAACAGATTCCTCACAATGTCTGTCAATCATTCAATTTAACAACTTCTAAGCATTGTCTAATTAGATTAGATTCATGCTTTCTAGAACAATAATTTTCATATCATTATCATATTGGACATGGCAGTTTAACACCTTGTTCCACCTCTTACAGACAGACAGATTAGACAGAACAAGTACCACAAACACACTATACATTTTTCCTGGTCCATGTGCATAGTCTTCTAATGCTAGCAGCATATTTATGAAAATAAATTTAAATTTATTTTAATCAAACATAGTTGTATAACTGATGAGATTTATACAATGAATTAAAAAAAAAAAAAATTAAAGAAAAAGAAACACGGCCATAAATAACCACAAAATGGTTGAAACATGTATTTTTAGTGAGATTTTTTTTATATAACCAAATGTTTTATATAGGGGGTTAAGCAGGATCAATAATAATTTTCTGTATGATTTAGTATAGTGTATATACACATATACAATTGTAAAAACTTATGAATCAAGTTTTTCCTACCTATATTAATCATAGACTGTATCCTGAAAACTAACCAGTACTGGAGTTGTCTGGTGTCTAATGAAACAACTTGTCTAAAGTAGGGGCTCAAACACACAATCCCTCACTTCAAACACTATGTAATATTAAAGATTTATAAAAAATGTCTATAATAAGTCTAAAAATTCATGCAAAAGTTCTAAAAGTAACAAGAGAGAAAATGTGTACACCTGTATATATAATGTATTTTACTACAATATCTCCTAGACTTGGCACAAAATAGATAAAATTTGAATAATACAAGCCATAAATAAACATAATTATCTTCTACAACATGGCATAGATTTGGTGTCCTAGTGTAATATCTTTAACTAAATATTTGTAATACACTAACTAATGACAAATTTAGAGGCGACACAATGAAAAATTCATCTAAATGTATATATAAATCTGAATG